CAATGTACGGTACCTATCATTTATATAACCTTAATGGGTGTTGCCCTTATCCTCACCGACCTTTTTTTTATGACAAGCACAACGTTCCCAGTGCTGTCGGATAACTTGCGAGGGGGGAAACACGAAATATTTGCTCGGGTGGAACCAGGGTGAACCGAACTACTCAAATTAAGCGCCGACCTTCAGCTTAGTAGTGCCGCAAACTATGGAATTCCATACTATTTGGTGAAACGGTGTGTAAAGAGCTGCACCCTTTCCAACATTTTATAGTGTCCCGTACATGCTCTTTCCGGTGACTGGGGGCGCTGTTACTATGATGTACATGAGGCAAACACTGTACAAGTTATGGAGTTTTCAGTTGAAAGTTGTGAACCCAAAATTGAAGCTCATTAAAAAAACATGTCTGCGTAACGTTTGTTCACAAACTTACTGTCATGTACTCAAATAACAATGATCAAGTACAAAACAAAATTTAAATTGACCATTGTAACAATCAGGGGCTTATACCCGCGCCAAATTTGCGGGGGGGGGGAGGGGGGGCGTACAACTTAGGGGCCGTATTTTCTGGAGGGGCACTCAATGCGTTTTTGAACAATGAAACAAAATCATTTTTGCTTGTCCCGCAAGTTCTGCGTTCTGCGTTCTGCTTGGGGGCACAAGGGGGCGGGGGATTACAGGCCTCAAGCAGGGGAGGGGGCGTACCCCACCCACACACTATTTACGCCACTGGGAACAATTTCCAAGTTGGCAAACTTTAGAGCTAAAGCGGCTGTGACGCTGACAAATGGCATTGAGGAAAATTGAAATCAAATGGTACATTTCAAGGATTGAAGTAATAGTGTTACCTTATGTAGCTGTATATGCATAATTACAAGCCTTATTAACCTTTTGCTGGCTAAAATGAAGTTCACAGTCATTATTCTGAATGCTCGTTTGGCTGTAAAATGGCCTTTTGGATGGAGATGAGATGAAAACCTGAAATTTGAGCTGTAATTATTTAACTGAACTAAGAGAGATTATTTATGCAGATATGTTCTTTATACGCGAAGTAAAAATACTCAGAGCACGTCATAGGTGCAATTACCATACAGTCCATGCTCTTCAATGAATGTAATTGTTTCTTCGAACGATACATTTTAAAGACAGTGCTTTTCTCTTCCGATGGTCTGCAGTCCTACAGGTTGTATTAGCAATTTTAGCATACTAAAAGTAAAAGATCCGCCGGATTTAATGTCGGGCAGCAATTTTTTTCTCTCGATCTTTTAAAAGTAATATTCCATAACTAAATGTCGATAGACTATTCAATGTTTCATTCTTAACTTTTGTATTACTTTAAAAATACCAGATAAAAAAAAGTGTTATTTTTTTTCGGATTGAAACAAAAACGGCAGGCCTCATTATCCTCCACATTAAATTCTAACTTTTGCTCAGAAAACTATCAGATTTCACAAAAGGGGCCCTTAATTGTGGAATACTTTAATTGGTTCGTTATTATAAAAACATTTTATCAAATATGAAAATTGTTTGATGCAGAAGTTTTGCATGTTTCTGCTTGCATGGTTATTGAGTGTTCAGTCTGCCCAGCTTAAAAAAAAAAAAAAAAAAACGAGGCCTGGCAGGCCCGGCCCATGCATGCTCGCTGAACAAGGGCTGCTTTTATTTGAAAAAAAGGTCACTCGAGCTTTCACGAAATTTGCAACAATAATCAGAGTATAATGTCCCAATCGGTGACTTGTTTACGAAGTGAATACGGTTTGGCAGTAAACATCAGATTTCTATACATGACCTGGCAAAAAGCAAACTAGTTTTGATCTTTCATGGCTGCGTGACAAAATACAGTTACGTGGCGTATATGTATGAAAATATAATTGTATATGTATTATTGGAATTTTCTAATCTTTTGAACGCATTGGACTCTCAAAATCATGGGAGTCGCGAGGGGGGGGGGGGGGGGAAGGGGGCGCTTCCCCCCCCCCGGAAAACGGGTCATGTATAGAGTCAGATGTAATAGTTCTCAGTTTTTATGGTCATATCACTTTAGCATAACTGTGACTTGATCCAACGAAATAAGTCATAAGTGCAGGTTTTCACCTTGTTGATTTGCCAATGTAGTATAGGAAGCGCATAATTTAGGCTTACTCCTCATTTTGATAAGTTTGACATCATCATACAAATAATTGATGTGCCGGGTGAAAATAGTGACCATTTCTAACCGAGTATAGTACCTGTACTGGCTGCTCATACTCCATGAAACAACCAAGTAGGCCTACATGTATATGAAGTTTCAAAACGATCATTATTTTGCTTACCAGTTATTCCACCCAGGCTGATAACGACGCTTCCCACAAAACCAGCGACCGCCGTGTTGCTAGTCAACGCGTTCATGAAGTTGGGCAGGAAAACACCCATGGATTTGAAGTTACCAAGAGTGATGAATGACCAAAAGAAACGAGCAAAAAACACCATCCATCGCCAAGGATGGGGTTTATTGCTTGGAGGCATCTCCATGTTTGTAAGTTCGATCAGGAGAGACGGTTAATCCTAATATGATTTGGCCAATTTCACAAACGCACTTATTATATATACACATGTATACACAGAAAACGCCATTTAAAATATCGTTATTTAAAATATTTTAACAGTGTAGTTCATGATATTTGAACTATGTGTGTTTTGTTCATCTGCACCGAACCGACAAACGATACTTACATACCGACTGAGCTGACTGCTTCGTTGACCATCAACAGTCGAGTATTTTAGTCTATAGAATTTTTAACAATGACAAGGGGCGGATCCAGGAATTTTCGCAGGGGGGGGGGGGTTCATCAGCAAAAAAATCTGAAAATGTACACAGGTTTTTTCTCCGGACACTTGGCCTCCGTAAAATCCAAAACTGGGGGACAGGCGGACAGGCGAACAGGCGGACATTATACCAGTATAATTTTCTTTGGGTGTCGGGGGGGGGGGGGGGGTCGACTTATTTTTTAGGAATTTGTATGATAATCTTTTTTTTTGGAACAGAGCTTGGGGGAGGGGGGTTGACCCCCAAAACCCCCCTCTGGATCCGCGCCTGATGACATGCATAATAACTAATTGTTTGCGTAAAGTTCGACTTTAGAGGAAGACTTGATGACAAGTCGTTAGATAGTCCTACTTTGTCCCGTCGAACTTCAGTCGAAATCCATTGGCGCGGCTGGTATAAGACTAGTACGTAATTGGGGGCCCAATTTCTTGGCTCTGCTTACCGTTACCAAAAAATCCCTGCTTACTATAATAGCAGAAAATTCCGTGCTTTCGGTAAGCGTATTTCACGCGTTATCGAGGCATTTTTGCTTCTGTACATGCGTATATCCCGTAACTAATGATTCTGTGCTTACGGGATTAGCACAGAATTGTTCTGCTAGCGCAGTTTTTAGCACAAAATTTGTGGTCTTAAGCACGGAATTCTGTGGTTAGCAGAGCCAAGAAATTGGTTGCGGCAAATCTTATCAGATATTTTCAGCATCTTTTGGTCTGGGAACCAGACTACGCGCATTGCAGCGATATTTTGCATGCGTGGAGCCAGTGACCGGGACCGTTCCCACGCAGAACAATTACCGACTTAGTGGCACCAAGTCCACTTTAGAGGTTGTGCTTGTTTATGTAATAGGCTCAACCAAATCGCTGTTATTTTCAAAGGTTTGAAAAACTGGCGTTCACGACTATACGCGCATGCGCACTGTCACTGACTATCCAGAGACAGTAATTGCAGTAAGAGCTAGCCGCAGGACGCCACCGGGGATGGTAGAAGACCATAGTTCCAGAATGCTCCTTTTTCAAACTAAGTTTCCAACGTGTTATCCTTGACAGCCTTATTTATGTGCCGCCCTTGACTCACTTAACCCACAAAAGATCACAATCAATATCCAGGAGTAAGAGTAAACGATTTTATGAGAACACAACTAAGACTAGACTGAGGAGCAGACCTTCACGTGTGCGAAGCCACGGTCTAACGCAATTAACATGCAAATTGTATACGATCCCGCGCGCCAGCTAATCGGAGTTGACTTTAGAAACTGTGACGTCAGTTGGATCAAAAATGTGGACTAAGCTGTTGACTGGTCAATTTGGATGCCATGTTTTGTCATACAACAACGAGTTGCCGAAGACTCTATATAGAAGGCGCCCGCTGAATGGTCAGAATTTCGAGGACAAGTGTTTTGCATAATTAATCGACGAATCTGCTCGCATATCACAGTCCCTTGCTGTGTCAGGGGATATTCCATAGACTAAACTAATCCCAACTACAACTATTCTCAAATGCATGACCACCTCTAAAAAGGAAATGTAAAAACAAAAAATGGGGTCAATTTAAAAATGAAATCAACTAATAAGTTAGGTCCCTTTGACCTTTTCCGCTCTTTTCTCCCTCGAAACAAATCTTCAGCCCCCTGCCCAAATTGACCACGCCCCTTCATAATGTTTCCCCCCATACCTCATCCAAGAAGGGCGATAATCATGAACGTAACTTTAGCATACACTGCGCACCAGATAGGGGAAAGTGATGGTAGGTCTAGTTGTGGCCGTTTTATATAGTCCCTCGCAAAGTGTCAAAAAACGTGCACAGTCTCCGCCATACAAATCTGAACAACACTCTAACATATGTCACTAAAAAAATACCGTAAATCTTTAACATGAGTTGCCCGCAACCCGCCTTGAAATGTGTTAGCATGTAGCCGGATTTATTGTACAACATAGTTGTACGTCGGCTTACTTTGTAAGCGTGCATGTTTTGTAATGTAACTGTGCTGCATAATGTGCATCATGCAAGCTGTTGTGGGCCCCCTGACGTCATCCAGTTGTGATGCGCGCGCATATACGAGGGCAGATGACTGATAAGGCCGGAAGTGAGTGGGAATAATATTCTCCTATAAGCACGAAGGTCGATCCATGTCCTGTCCATGTACATTGTACATGTACAGTATGTTCAATGCACAGACAGGCAAGCAAGACACACAGTGCCCGCTGCATGCATGGCCGCAATCGCACGGTGTACTGTCTGACCCGCACCGTATTGCAAAACTGTACAAACCAACTGACCAATTTACGACAGACAAACTCGTAATTTCGTTCCAACATGGTGACAAGTTGCTGTGCCGTGGGCTGCACTAATAGGAAGACCCGAAACTCCAAGCTTCATTTCTATACTATTCCGAAACGCAAGACTCCATTTGAGCAGCGGCGACGTCAGTTATGGTTGCAGGCTATTGACAGGGACAACTGGCCCGAACAACAGGTAAACAGGGCCTTCCTGTGCAGTGCCCACTTCATATCTGGTGAGTGAATCCCAACCTAACTTTGCGTCGGTATTAGCTTGCTGCACAATCATCATATTTGACATCATTTATTTTTTACAATGTAACATAGACTCGAGCAAGTTCTTTTGTGGCTTGACGTTATGTTCACTGCTTGATCCTGTGTGGGTTCGATCACGGTTCGATTCAGTTCGCTTCAATCACAAAAACGTAGGCCTACACGAATGTTTTACTTATGATGCGGTGCATTCTTGTGTTAAATCATATCCAAAGAGTTGTGGTCAAGTCATCCACAGTCAAGACGGTCAATCACACGCAGTCCATCACACGCTATGCCGTCACAGACAGGTGCCGAGCCATTCAAATTTCTGAAAGACATTCGGTAGTATGTGTTGATCCCTTCAACTGGCTTGTGACTTTTCTTGTGATTTGACTTGTGATGGACTTGTCACTGACTCTTGACACGGACATGACTACTCTCTACCTTCGTTTGCGAATGGCCACGTGGTTGTGGAAAATGAATATTGTAAGGGACATTCTCCCCAGCTTTGTTGACCCAATCAGTATAATTATCTCGCAATTAAAAAAAAAGTCCTGTCGTGATTAATCATTCTCCCTACCATCACCCAAGAAATTCCACATGATGTAGGATTTGGGACGGCAAGATGACTGCAGTAGCTCAACAAAAAAAAACAAAAAAAAAATGCTTGTGGAATTTTGAGATTTCTGAGTTGTCAACTTTTGGGGTACCGAGAAAGTCGTCAAAGTAATATTGACATTTTTGAAAACGGTTTGCGCAACTTCAAAACATCAGAAATTTCTGCTAGCAGAAAATGGGGTTGTCCCCATTCTAGATTCTAGATGCTCTGTGGTGCGATCTGAGGCAATTTCTGACCACTTTAACCAATTTTTTTGAGGAAAAGATGGTGGTGTACTCATTGTCTGCTTTTATTGCGATGTCACATTAAAAAAAAAAAAAAATTGGTTTCGTTTTTTTTTGGGGGGGGGGGGCCATGGCCCCCTTTGGCCCCCCCCCCCCTGGATCCGCCCTTGGCGCCGAGAGAGTCGTTAAAGTAAAATTCAAATTTCTGCTAGCAGAAAAATTTACTTAAAAAAAAAAAGTGCAGCGACTTAAAAAAAAAAAAACCCTAAAATGTTACTGAGCAGAAAATGGGAAAAGTGGGTCCACTTTTGGGACTCCATACTACATAAAATAATAATAATGGATCTAAAAGTCATAATAGAGGTTGAGACCAGAGTTTGATAGGCCTAAGTAAAATCACTAATTATTAAGTGACAAACGTTGCGAATTTTCTACACAAGTTATGAATAGGCATAATTTTATCTAATTTCTTGCAGCATGCAAAAGTACTTTTGGCTGGGTTAATAACTGAGGCTGAGAAACTACAGACGTGTTTTCAGGAATAAACGCATTGCATGGGTTGCCTGCTTGGTATCAATTATCTTGCCACTCGACATTGGGCTCACTTTAAGGACTTTATAGAAACAAAAGTGTACACCATGCCATCTCTTATGCTGTCGCTCTTGCAGTGAACTTAAAACCGCCAGTTTCTCTGCATTGCTAGTCATTATAGTTACTGTGAATCTGTTGGAAGTCTAAAAAATTCAATAGAAAGGAAATATTTATAAGGTTGAACACAAAAAAAAACCCGACTAGAGCAGTACGAACCTGCGCCCACTGGGACACCTTACCGGCGCTCTACCAACTGAGCTATCCAGCCCTATGGCTCCCTACTGGTAAAGACGTGCGCTAGCCAGAAGTCAAAAAGAGGAACACATCGTTCAACACAAAGCGCCCGATTAAAGAGGTTGTGGAATGCTCGAAGACATTTCCGTTATTTTTCGGGTATATGTAGCCTAAGGTGTGATGAAATAAAAACGACTATTGTTTCTGTCATAAAATGAGTACAAAAGGTACTTTTGAGAGCTGTTTTTCAAGTCTTGTCATGCCTGTTTCGACCCGAACGTGCAATTTGTGTAAAAGCCGTCGTTGCGGGCAGCAAACAAAACACAGTAAATCGTGACGTAATAAACAGGACTCCCGATGCAGAGTAGCATAAACGAGTCCTGTTTATTACGTCACGATTTACTGTGTTTTGTTTGCTGCCTGCAACGACGACTTTTACACAAATTGCACGTTCGGGTCGAAACAGGACCTGAAAAATAGCTCTCAAAAGTAACCTTTGTACTCATTTCATGACAGAAACAATAGTCGTTTTTATTTCATCACACCTTAGGCTACATATAACCAAAAAATGACGGAAATGTCTTCGAGCATTCCACAACCTCTTTAAGCGAATTGTTCACGTTCCTTTTTCAAATTATTACATTTTTCTGCATTCGCTGCAGGGGAAAGATCAGATGACCCAGACAACCCGGACTTCGTGCCTTCCATCTTCAATTTCAACTCATCTCAGCCCTACGCCCGACGCCATGGCCGCAAAGTCGGCAAGGTGAGAAAGAATCAAGACTCGCCAGTCTCGCATCTTGTTGCATCTCCACTTCGAAGTACTCCCCCGCCGAGCTCGACTGCAGAACAGAGAAAGAACCCCACATCCCACCGACAACAACCAGTCTTGTCGGTGTGTGATGATGAGCATCCCAACACCGAAAACAGACTGTCACAAACGAACTCATCTGCCGGTGTTGGCTCAGTGAAAATCCCATTTACCAACAATACCCCAGTTGCTAGTCCGAAGCCCAGTGTAAAGCAACAACTCACGACAACCAAGAGGTCCATAGACTTTCCCCAGCCCTTAGATCTATCAACAAATCAGTCTCCGTCGAAACGGTCGCACCTAAAATCGCCAAACTCTGAAGTTGGTGAACTTCAAGAACCATTAGATTTAAGTTCATCTTCATCTTCAGATGTGAAAACTCCTCAAGGTTTTTCAGTTTCTGAATTCGAGGATCACATGAGTGAAGACTGTAGTAAACCTTTGAACCTAACTACAAACCCAGCAGCATTTAAGCATCGAGAGTCACCAACGACCAGTTTCTTACCGACCTATGTCGCTTCTGTCAGACGCAAAGGGTTACAGATTTCACCGGCTCAACGTCACCAACATTACAAGGTTGATGAAGTGAGGGGGATGACTTTCAAGCGAGAAAACTGTCTGTCACCAAACGGTACTTGCAATTCCGTACGTTCGTCGGTTTCAACACCGATAGAGGTGTCATGCAGAGGCAAGTATTGTTTTTTTTTAACACCAAGGATACTCTCCAGCCAACCACCGGCTATTAGTCAGGATTCTCACTATAGGGGGCGGGGGATGTTACAGTTGGTGGGGGGGGGGGGGCAATTTCTGTTAAACCCGTTAACCATGGTCACTTATAGGACCAACGCATTTCCAGTGAGGGGAGGCTGACGATTTTTGTTTTATGGGGGCGTACATCGATCACGGCGATAACGCTTTCCTCGATGTGTTTCCTTTAAAAAAAAATGTGTGAGCGTCCTTGGCAGTTTCTATACCCGTGATGTTTTTCAGACGAGGTATAGCGCCCGCAACGACGATATTTTTCTCGTCACAACCGACCCTAGGCCACTGATATCTGGGGGTACCTGGTGCAGACCTGCAAATTGATTCTCATAGACTTCAGTGATAATTACGCGTACTTTCAAAAAAATATTAAAAGCACTCGCAACTCTCCAATGTGTTTGATACACCCATGAAATGATTTCAAGCTTATTTCATAATCTTTCATTTTCTGTTCAAGTTTTGTTCCGTTATCTGATAAGTTTTGGGAGAAAATTCCATCCAAAGATGATCACCCCGAAAAGTAGTCCTCGGTGGCTCATCGCCATTTTGAAGAATGATGCCTGCGCTCCATTACAGAAAAACGAGGTCACACTCCCATCCTGTGCACGGCTTCCACCCACTTTTTTTTTTTTTTTTTTTTACAAACCTTTAAGTCCATGGCCCACCAAAGAATTTGAGGGTGCACAAAATGGTGATTTGGCTCCATCTACAGGTCTGCACCCCTAGCCAAGAGCGCGTCTGACCTCTAATTGTTTTCTTTGCGCTCTCAATGGATACTAATTCCATTGACCCGTAGACAGCACTTTCGTGTGCGAAGCTACTCGTGCGCAACAAGTATCAAGCGTATTTAAAATAATCATCTTAGTCAAAGCGTGTGCGGCTACAGCTACCCAGACACATGGGGCCCCGGATGCTAGCACGAAAAAAGACTAGTGTGAGCGGCGAAGCACTGGTCTTTTTCCCCCCTGTTTATGGAACGTGACCTAGTACCCACAATGCTTTGCGACGTCTGCGTTTCGGTGATCGGTTTCCGGTACATTTGGGTGAAATTAAATTATCATATTCATGAGAACATATCAGTGTGATCTTCAATGGGATAGCTTTGAAATTTGTGTACAATTTCTCAAGTTGAATAATTTTTATACACCTTTTTGACTAGATGGTTTGAAATTCCAAACAAAACTCGAAGCTGTTAAGTAGGCCTAAGTTCCATCAGAAGCATTATAACTGTAGATAGAAGTCCCAGAAACATTTTATCTATAGGCCCCACCCTTCTTTCTCACACCGCAATGTGCTGCTGAGTGAAAAACCCCTAAATTATACCATGATTGCCCTCATGTGTCAGGACTACAGCATTCATGAAAAAAAGTAATAAATGTCACGTTCAAACTAGCAACTACTGCGCTGCCTCAACTGGCATTGCTTCATTGTCATCTTTTCTTACTAGGGGTGGTGGTGGGGTGAGCCTGGGCGACTTTCGCGGTGTTCAAGTTAAGGGGTTGGTCATTTTAGTCGGGGGGGGGGGTCCTCAGCTAGACACCAATTGACACGAAGTGGAGCTGTTCATTGACCCTATGGCCAAGTCCCGATCCCCGGTCTGGGGCCGGGGGATTTGCGCCCTTGCCAAATCGATCCTTGTCTAGATTTACAAAGGACATTAATTAGTGATACAATTATGAGTGTTTTCTTTATGTTAATTAAGTTCATCATTTGCACTTCTCCTAGCAAACTGTTTACCCATTACCCAACTTTTTTCGGCAATCGTTTTGTCTCCCTCCCAACCCCTAACCCCCTCCGATACGCCGCGGTACTGCCTTTGTTTGGGACTCACGTGATAGCGCCCTCATCGTTGAATAATGGCGTCTTAATTGTGCGTACACGTACGTGACCGTGCATGCCATGCCGTACACGCGTCCGGCCGTAGCGTACGTACGTACGCACGCGTCCGCTTGGCACGACGAGAAGGAAGACCGAAAGGGTTGCGAGCTGAGTTGAAAATCCCTCTTTTCCCCCTTCCAATCTTTGAAATGCTGCAGTCAAGAAAATAGTGTCTCAATCGAAAGCATTGCCATGGCGGCTAACATGTATCGGGTCGGAGGTAAGGAAAAATCCGTTTGATTTATGGTGTTTTTTTGTTGCGGTCATTTTGTGCGCCAGGCAAACACGGTCGGATATCGTAATGGCGGCTAGTTGAGTGGAACACAATCGTGGACCACGGGCACGGAGGAAGGAATAGGCAATTCAAACATCAGTCATTATTCCCATAGCCTTCCTTTTTGCGTATAATAAAAACAGTAGTACAAAATAACTTTATTATGCTTCTTAATTAAGATAGTGATGAATGGCGGGGGGGGGGGGGGGGGGGTCTCGTCCACCCACATTTTGGGCGGAGTCATCAATCGTGAAATTGGTTTTGGTTTTCCATGTATCCTGTTCATCATTTTGAAATTTTCCCACTGACATTCGAAACAGTTTCCTTTTCATTTACTGAGAAGTTACTAAGTAATTTGCAAAGTTGATTACGGAATACGGGTACCCGATTCCATAATCTGGAACCGGTTCCTGACATAAACGGTCTGGTACTCGGGTACCCGGTTCCGATGCACAGTCCTACAACATTTTATCACTACCCAACAAGTGAATTTCACTAGTCGCACCAGGGGCGGATCCAGGAATTTTCGCAGGGGGGGGGGGGTTTCAGCAGCAAAAAATTCTGAAAATGTACACAGGTTTTTTTCTATGTACTGTACTGGGGGGGGGGGGGGGCTGGTTCCATATTTTTTCAATAGGGGGCGCTGTTCAAATTCGATGATTATTTACACTAGATTACAGAATGGTGTACCGTATTTTGAAAAGGCAAACATTATACCAGTATAACTTTTTTTGGGTGTCACAGCAGGGGGGGGGGGGGGGGGGTTTCGACTTATTATTTTTTTTTACAGAGCTGGGGGGGGGGGGGGGGGGGTTGGAGTAATTGCAGAATACCCCGCCACGCGAAAATGACCCCCTAAAAATAAATGTCTATGCAGTCGGGAAAATGTTGCAGAAATGTCCACAGTACATGTAGATGTCGGGAAGTGGATACGCAAATACAATATACGGGGTGAATTTGAGCGCTGGAGGGTCTAAAGGGGGCGCTATTTCCCTGTAAGAAATGCGGCCAGCAGGGACAACGTGAATTGAATGGAGAGCAGGGGTTAAATAAATCTAAGTCCAAAGTAGGTGCCAGGAAGTGGATACGCGGATACGGGGTGGACTTTATTTTTAGCGGAGGAAAATAAGCATCCATATCCATGTTGGAAAACAACGAAGGCAGCGACAACGCGAGTTGAATGGGGAGCAGGGCAAAAATGTCTAAGTCCAAAGTAGGTGCCGGGAAGTGGAAACACGGATACGGGGATACGGGGTGGCATGGCACACGCGTGTGGTTTTGGGGGAAAACGTCTAAGTCCAAATAGGTGCTGGGAAGTGGATACGCTGATACGGGGATACGGGGTGGCACATGCGTGTGGTTTTGGTTGAGCATCCAAGCGTGACTCCGTATCCGCGCATCCGGATACGAGGTGGGATAGGTGAGTGGCGGGGTATTCTGCAATTGTACCGGGGGTTTGACCCCAAAACCCCCCTCTGGATCCGCGCCTGCGCACAGCACTATATTTGTTGCAAAAACTCAGTTCTGGATGGAAGATCATATCAAGACTCACAATATGGCTGCGTCTGGATCTGGAGATTAATTGTCTAGATCTTTGTTTGCCTCATTACAATTATGATATTAAATGCCAACAATAGACAACGCCGTCGCTCTGGAAGTCTGTTGCAGACTTGGCACGAGTCTCTCCAGCATGCCCTAAAGGTTAAACTTTAAATTCCTGCTGAATCCAACAGGATCCAACTATGTCATAAACCCGTCGGAGCCTGTTGAATTGAGCAGTAAACCCCTGGTACAAATGTACGTACATATTCAGAGTCGGATTCTGTTGGGTACTGATAAATAACGCCAAGTTGGACTCTGTTGGATCCAGCAGACAACTGAAAATTAGGCACAGTTGGATTCTGTTGGATTGAGCAGGAAGTAACCGTTGGACCATGTTGGATTTAGCAGGGTAGTCCTGAGGAACCCTTAGGCGGTTTAGGGTTATATCAAGATCAAAGTTGAAAGTTAGAAGTCTACATTTGCAAAAAGACATCCGAAGACAAAACTGATTGAACTCTACTCCCTTTTGTTTTTGTTTCCAGATTATGTGTATTTTGAGACGTCATCTTCTCAACCATACCTGATCCGACGTATTGAAGAATTAAACAAGGTGAGTCTTATTGCAAAACTGTTTTGTGGGTACTGACATCTACTCAAATTGTCATGTCATTCGGATTTATATGCAGTGAGAAGTATGCAGTGACTGACTTATATTATTATTCTGTGTATTTCATATTTTCTTTGCCAGACTGCAAGCGGGAACGTGGAAGCCAAAGTTGTCTGTTTCTACAGGAGAAGAGACATACCCAGTTCCCTCATCCAGCTTGCAGATAAACATGCTTGTAAGTAACTTGGTATGGGCTGTGCGTACATGTACCCCCTCAACGGTAAGAAAGGGAGAGTTTGGGGGGGGGGGACCACTAGGAGAGACATTCGAACACAAAATTTCATTGTCAATTGTGCGCAGTGCACATTGTTGTAGAAAGAGGCATGGGGCATATAGGCCGCGTGCCTCGTTATCACCGAGGAATTGATATTTGTCACTGTCGTTCCCAGTGGCCATTGAAGATGAACAAGAAGAGACCCTAGAGGAGCTGACGGAGAAACAGCGCCACCAGCTGAAGCACCGCGAGCTCTTCCTGTCGCGACAGCTGGAGACGTTACCAGCGACCCACATCCGAGGGAAGTGCACCGTCACGTTACTCAACGAGACGGAAAGTCTGTTGTCGTACCTGTCCAAGGAGGTTCGTCATTTTGTCATGATTTGTCTCTGGTAATATATCTAGCAAGGGATTATTCAAAAAGAACCCATTGTACTACTGGTGGGAGCAATCAGAGATTTCAAAATCCAGTTATCGTATTTTTTTTGCAACCAAGTAATGGTTAGGCCAAAAAAAAAAATTATTCGGTCTCTTGTCAGACCAAAGTTCCGGAATTGATGCGGCGACGTGTTTTTTTGTTTGTTTTTGTTTCCTTTTTTTTTTTTTTCAAGCTTGGATTGAACAGACAAGATGGGTACTATTTTGCTTTTGTTGTGTCCTCATATACATTGGGGTCCTCCATAATTTGCCTTGGGTGCGCTCCATCATTTGCCTTGGTGCAATTTCCCCATTCCTTGGTAGAAAAATTTGAGGAGGTACGGCAATAGAGCGCGCTGCTGTAGCTACCGCGGACAATTTGAAGAAAAAAAAAGTTGACGCGCATGATTAAAATCGACGCGCGCGCTGACCAGAGACCGACTAATTCTTTTTTTTGGCCTTATCCAATTTCACCGGAAGCTCCAATTGAACCATCACCGTTTGCTAGTTAGCCACGCCCCTTAGACAACCATATGGAGTTTTCGCACACTAAGTTTTGTTTGTCTCAGATTTTGCGCGTTCCGCGTCCATTTGTATATCATGTAATTGGACAATATTTCACAAGCTGTGTTGACGCGATTCTAACGCGATTCTACCTTGATTCTACCGTGATATGTCAATAAAGCTCAAAGTCATGCAGTCAAAAAGCGACAAATGAGGTGCCACGTGCATTGCTTTCCATGATGATTGTGTATAGTTTCCGGGATTAAAAAATACTCCAGGTGCTGTAATGTCTGATCTGTCGAATGGGCAGGCTGTTCATATACCACTAGCAAGTGAATGTGATCACAACCAGAGACCATGGTGCAATTTGAGCAATGTTACAGTTGTTTCCTTTAGCTTGTGTCACAAAAAATGGAAGACTGAATTTTTTTCAAATATCCAACTTCCAAAATCCAAACCAAATAGTGGAATCCAAACCAAATTTAAAACAATCCATTGTACTGTGGCTGGTAAGCCTGAAGAAAGCTTTGGAGAGACAAACAGAGAAGACAATGATAAAAAAAACCCAGGTCAATATTCTAGGGAAAACCACTGCAATCACGTGGGGACTGACCACCCCATCCACACACTGGTCGGGGTGGGATTCGAAACTAGGGTCCACAGAGATTGAAGGCAAATTCAACGAAGCCATCGCAGATGTCAAACCAACCAAGTGACTTTTTTTAACAGTTCAGTGCTCCCTGCCTTCATAAAGCAGGATTGACTGGCTGTGACTGTTTATGTAACTTGATACAGCTGTGCTTTGACTGTAGGCGATTGATAAACCAGCTGTACGTACCAGTTGCTTGCATTTGTCTGATGGAATCTGACTAGTCGCAATGCCTACAAGAAATGTGGTCTGACCGTTGGTGGCTTGTGTATAAGTTATGGGAGGGGAATTGGATTGACTTTCTGACTGTCTGTGACTGATCAAACAGTCGGGGGGTTCTAATGTTATTTCTCCCATGTTTTCTACCAGGATGCATTCTTCTATTCCCTGGTCTACGATCCCCAGCAGAAAACCCTTTTGGCTGATAAGGGGGAAATCCGTGTGGGTCCCCGGTACCAGGCAGAGATCACACCAAAGCTTGCTGAAGGTAGGTTACCAGTGAAAAAAAAACGGGCTTTTCATGGCTTAAAGTTAAAAGGAAATAGTATTCCAAACTTGGATGCCTGTCTGAGCATAAATGAAGTAACAGCCTGAATCCAGTTATGTCCTCAATCCTTCAAAATCCTCCATTTTGCAAGGAGGATTTGGGACGGTTAGCGTTAATAGTTGATTGATGTTTTGCTTACTAGGTATTGATATTTTTGATGTGAGTTGTTAACTGCCTGTTTGTTCCTAGATGAGCAAGACGAGAGGGAGCTGAGCAAACTTGAGACCAAAGTCTGGAGCTCTGAGCACCAGCTTCCGGATCGTCAGATTGACCAGTTCCTCATCTTGGCAAGGTATGTAGGTCCAACTGCCTGACTGATAGACCGAGTCACCCAAAAAATCATTAAATAATGCCCTAAACTGATATTGTAGGTCGAGCTCAACAAGGCAATCCTGGTGTTTTATTTTAAATTGTGTTTCATGGGTAAATTGATGCATTTGATTGCATGATATGGTTGTTTATAGAAATACCAGCATATTTCCGGTGTTTTTTAAACTTTGAAAATGAATAAAACTGCTGCAAACTGCATACCGAGCAGAGCCAAATTTCTTGGCTTTGCTTACCGTTAGCAAAAAATTCCTGCTTACTGTAGCAGAAAATTGTGTGCTCCCGGTAAGCGTGTTTCACGGATTAGCAGAAAATTGTGTGCCTACGGTAAGCGTATTTCACGGATAAGCAGAAAATTGTGTGCTTACGGTAAGCGTATTTCACGGATTAGCCAAGAATTTTGGCTTATGCGCATGCGTACATCTCGTAACTAAGTATTCTGAGCTTACAGGGTTAGCACAGAATTTTTCTGCTAGCGGGCTTAGCACAAAATGGTAATCGTAAGCACAGAATTGTGTGGTTAGTAGAGCCATGAAATTGGGCCATGTAAGCAGTTTGCAACAAAATTAGAGGGCCAAACGTTTCGATCCTTGGCAGGACCTAGCTACATGTGTGTGAAGGATTATTAAGTATCGCTAGTTAAAAAAAAAGGATTTTAACAGCATTAACAGATAAGAAATGTTGGTCACCTGAAATCACATGTCAAATAAAAATTTTAAGACCCAATATGAACGTTACGCAAATCATATCTTCAGTTTGTAATTTATGACCGTTTGCATTCCACTAAGTATAGAGCAAGATTAGTCGACTGGTTGTTGATTTGTGATGTAACTTATGCCTGCACAATTATAGCAACGTGCGAACGCCTTTAGTCAAATGATGTTCAAAAGTTGTAAAGGAAGACAAAGCTGGGATTTCGAAGAGGCCCTAACCAAGAAAAACAATTATTGGATTAGCAACCTTGCTTCTAATGCTAAGATTTCATCGGCTGCTCTCTGAAATCAACTTCGCTTCATGCCACGGGATTATCAAAACACTGATAGTTTGCCTGACTCCATTCTTCCACCAGAGCAGAAAAAATTGAATTTATAACTGTTCAAGGAAAAACTAGCCCAACATGTTTTCTTTCTTCTTTGAACTCAGGTCCGTTGGTACCTTTGGTCGAGCCTTAGACTGCAGTAGCTCCGTCCGTCAGCCCAGCCTTCACATGAGTGCTGCGGCTGCATCTAGGGACATTACGCTGGTGAGTTGGGACTTGTGACTCTTATTGACGTCCCACTGTGTGTCACTGGTGACTATGGGAAGTTCCTTGCATAAATGCTTAGCGAGTTAAAGGGAACGTACAACATTTGCTTTTGCTGCAATTTTCAGAAATAAATGGATTTGGAGGATTAGTATGTTATAGCAAATATTGTTAAACTGACCTGCTTCACGTTTTGGGTTCGGAGATGCTGGAAAGTCCAAGAAAACCAACCATGTTTTTGTAGTCTGTTTCCCTGACCCCACTTAAGATTAAACGGAGCAATTTATAGACTTTGGGGAATTGTTAGGTCAGAGAATCAATCTAGAAAGCTTGTACCCCTTCACAGTGTGTAATCAATTGCAAAGAAAATTAGGAGCACTTTAAAAAAAAAAAAAAAAAGGCAGTTTTTTCCAACGCTTGTCAAAAATACAAGTTTTCTTGAAAATGTCAGCACACCAGGAGCCACGATTTTACAGGATGCTTTGGACTGTCATTCCCTAACAATCCAGTAAGATATTGGTGATAATTTGATCATTTCGTTTTTTGATGTTGCAAATGTTGTATTTTCCCTTTAACGTTCCAGTGGGAAGTCAATATTCGGAGCAATATGTAAAACCCTCTAAAACTCGGCAGGTCATTTTCAAGTAAAGGGATGTGAAAACTATTTGACATCCCTTTTGAGTTAATTTGATTAAGAAGTGCTCTTTCTTAAACAATTAAAATTGTCCGTGCTTTTCTAGACAACTGAGGGCGCTGTTGCTGTGGTGTCATTTCAGGAAGATACTGTTTGGTTAAGGGGTTTTCTGTTCAAATTGTGAACCCAAAACTTTGCTCATTAAAAACATCTGTGAGAAAAGTTTGCTCACTGGCTTATGTACTGCCAAGTAACGAATCACCAAAGAACAGAAAAATTACGACAGCAAATTATCCAACATTCTGGCAACTTTTGCTGCTGAAATAACTGTAACATTGAGGTTTCTGCCTGAAATGACATCACACTTTTGCTCACAAATATTGAAATCCGCATTTAGCATGAAACCAAAAAGGTACCAAAATACCCTAGAAAATGGCAAAACAAAAAGTGAAAATAACGTTAAATGGGATACAAAGGTGCATTTTCAAGAACTGCATTGAAAAAAAAGTATGAATTATATGAAGTCGTTTTTCCCCTTACCATTGCTAGTTCCACGCCATGGATATGCTGCACACCCAAGTCTACGAGATCACCAAGGCCGTCTCAGCCCTGGTGCCCGCAGGAGGACCGGTCATCTGCCATGACCAGCTGGAGGAATGGTCAGCCTCCGAGGCCAACCTCTTTGAGGAAGCCCTGGAGAAATACGGCAAGGACTTCAACGACATCAGACAAGATTTTGTAAGTCAAACATTGAATTTTAACGTTCCGTTCCCGTGCTCTTCAACAAATCCAGGTTTTTTTTTATATAATACATTTTCAACTTGTATGTTTGATCAGGGTTCTTATTGCTTGGGAAAAAACCTGGGAAAAGTCATGCAATTTTCTTTCCAATCTCCAGGTCTGGAAAAATCAAGGAAATTTGTAAAAATGACCAAAGTCATGGAAAAGTCGTGGAATTTTGTGAGGACCAATTTATTTAAACTTTTGATTCTAAACTATTTTTGAGTTCGGGTCATAGTTTTCACGTGATTGGAATCGACTGAACACAACAGTCTGGATCTGCATTAACATTTTCTTTCGTTCACAGCTTCCGTGGAAAACGCTGAAGAGCATCGTGGAGTATTACTACATGTGGAAGACCACGGACCGCTACGTCCAGCAGAAACGGCTCAAGGCAGCCGAGGCAGAGAGCAAACTCAAACAGGTCTACATACCCAACTAGTAAGTATGGGCTCTGTGGACACAAGAGGGCGCTTTGTGCCCACCAAAGTCTTTGCAGAAACAGCTTGAAGTAAGACAGGTATAAGCTCTCTGAAATAAATTACTCAGCCCCATCGATCATAATATAGAAGATGTATCGTAGCCAAATGTTATCCTTTTTGTTTTGACAGTAACAAGCCTAATCCTAATCAGATACCCAGTAAGCCCAACATCACCCTGGGTACCCCAATGGGCGTACCAGGAGCACCGGGCGTACCTCCAGGGGTCACACCGGGTACTAGAGCCTGCGAAAGCTGCTATGGTAAGCCCATCCAACTTTTTGTTAGTCTGTCAGCTTAAATTTAGTTGTACATTCATGTGTGCACATGTATGTGTATGGAGAGCTATCTGAAGCAATTATCAGCTATTCTGTAATTTATCAATGAAATCCCAAAATGACAGCTCATGATGACATATCTGTTACAGAGGTACATAGGTTCATCTGTTTTCAACCCATCACGGAAAATAATATATTTAAAATCGATCTCGGGTCAACCTGCGATTTGTTTGCTTTGCGACGGAACTGTTGGCATCAAGAACAAAGTTATGCTCAGTTCACAAAAATCGTGTGATTATTGTGGAAAAAGTGGCATCTCGACACAGAGTAATCAACCATGCTAGTGTCACCCACGATGTGATGACGATTCACAATAAAATTCGATGATTCGGATGCGTGCACAACATAGTTGCACTCAGGTTGCAAAAAAATTTGGCAACTGATATGGTCCCGACTGTTGTAGCTCAGGCACACCTTGTGTGTCGTCCCAAGGTTGACCGAGGATGGCTGTAGAAGCAGAATATTGACCCAATCTCAACATATTTTGCCTTTTTTTCAATATTGCAATATTCACTTGATAATTTTTATCTCTCCCAGCGAGTTCTTCCTACCAGTGGTATTCCTGGGGTCCAGCCAACATGCAGTGTCGTCTCTGTGCTTCCTGCTGGATCTACTGGAAGAAATGCGGCGGCCTCAAAATGCCGACCCGACTGGGTAAGTCAACTCATATTCTTTGTCCAATATTGGGTTTTGCCCTTCAACGGTGTATTTAAAAAAAGTATGTTTTTTTATTATAATTTTTTTATGAACACTGTATACTCAGTGTTGTCCGGAGTGATTGTGAGAAAAAAATCACTCTGGTGGGACTCGAACCCACAGCCTCCTGCTGGAACCCACGGCCGTTGGTCGAGTGGTAAGATGTCTGCACTAGTAAGCAGGAGGTCGCAAGCACTCGGGACAGCACTGAGTACTTATACAGTGTTAACCAAAACAAAAGTTGGTGAAGGGTAAAACCCAATATTGGTAACATTCCATTGTGGTTATTGTATTGTGTGTCTGCACTTGGATTAATTTTGATTAAAAGTATTAAAATGATTAAAAACTCATTTACCTGTACTGCTCTCTCTCAGTATCTTATGAGGACGCCCTACTATTGACTTTCTTAACCTAACAACACTTCAAAAAACAAAAACAAAAAGCAGTCGATCCCAGAGAAAGAAATTGCTCTTTTTTTAATTTCTAATATCAATCAATAAAAGGATATTTTGGTGCATTTGAATCAGTTGCTTTTTTCTAATTATTCTGTCCATTATTTTCGAAAATACATTTTGTTTGTTATTAGACGGTGATCGGCCTGGACCTCTACGTAACCGGCCTGAGCGACGACCCAAGGCATGGGGACGTTTGGCATGCATCGTCCGTTCCGTTGCACCATCAGTGGATGTGGCAAGGTTAGTTAAGCACATTTTGTGTATTTCCTCCTTGCTTACAATTGGTTATTCTGTTCTTGAAATTCATTAAAGGTGCTTTTTTTTGGGGGGGGGGGGTTCTATCAATGTTTCCCAAGAACAGTAATACATGTAATTGAAATGATCAATAAAAAGTCATCTATAATCATTCACACAATACCACCTTCGACCTTGAAAATTGGGGTTTTTTGGGCAATCAACGTGCTATAAGGAATTTCAGAGTACAAAATTTTAGTCCTAATTTTAGTCCTAGCCATTATTCACTGCTGTATGCACATACTGGCAAAGCAAACATGACTTCCGCATGAGATGTAAATTTTTTTTTAACATTTTATCAATAAATTATGTTGATTTCCTTTTAACCAATTTTTGTTGCTGATCAGCTGCATCAAATTTTGCCCTGGACAGGTTTTCCTTTCTGAAATTGCATTTGTTGCTTTTGAAATTCTGCCTTTCCTGAACTTCAACTCACCCAGTTCTCTCTATGTCTGGAGATATTTAAATGCATGGTTGAGTTGACAGCATGTAAAGGCGCCTTAGGCAGGCGCAATACGACCAACGTCTTACCACGGAGCACAGCCAGATCGTGTTGAATGTTACGGTGGGAGGAAAACCGGAGAAAAAATCCTCGTGGCACAGGAGAGAATCAACGAGCAACTCTACATAATAACCTGAGCCGGGAATCGAACCCGGGCCACAGCAGTGAGAGGCGAGCGCTATACGCACTGCGCCACCCATGCCAGTTGTTAGTCTAACTGACGGATACATGTACTTAGGCTTTGTCACTATCTCAGGGCTTAAATTAAATGCAATCCTCAACTCTTTATTTCAAATTTGCGTTGGTTCACCAGGAGTTCAAGCTGAAGGCCCACCTAGCCCGCCACTGCCAGACCGTCCACGGCCTCACCATCCGTACCAGCGGGCCCCGGGCCCTGGGCCTCAAGACTCGCCAGGCCTTCTATCTCTTCACCACGCCCCTCACTAGACTGTCGAGGAGCGTCTGCCCCAGCGTGCTCAACATTCGCCATGCTTCCCGCAATCCGTTTGATCCCATCAACATCGCGGCCATCAAGCAAGCCTGTGAGTTTGTCATAACAAAACCTGTCTCTTGAACATGTTCAATTTTTTTCTCCTTACAAATTGAAAATTTGTATGTTTTATTTAAATGAAAAAAACCCTACCTTTTCTATTTTGGGCGTATACCACCCTCTGACAACACGCTTGCATTCTGGGTTGCATTTGCGCCACAACGCATAAAAGATCCGTCTAAACAATTGTTGGGCCGCAAATAATTTGAAAGTTAATAAATTTGAAATTTGAAACGCTGAATTTTTTTGTTTGATATCTCATTCAAAAATGAATAAGTTTTGTATTGCTAGAAAAATATGCAATATATAAAAGCAGAATCTGATTTTCAAAGTGTAACTCAGAATTATCACGGGGAGAGCGACTTTAAAGTGGGTGTGGGAGGGGGGTGGAAATGGTTCAGAAGACACCCATCCATTTTGTTAACATTACACAACATTTGTTGTCCTAGGCCCCACCCTATGATGTTTTGAACAATCACAGTCATGATTGCGCAACCAGGAAATACAAAAGTTTTTTAGCCCATTTCTTGATCTACCTGTAGAACAGATTTCGGGGTGTTCAAAGATGCTATAAATATGTCTAGCCATCAGGTAAACCCTACAAACAAGGCTGGCCTCCTTGTACCATTTGTCTTCAATGGAATGGGCTCTGTACACAAGTACCCCCTCAACGGTAAGAAATGGAGAGTTTTGGGAGACCACTGGAAGAGACATTCCAAGGCATTGTTGACGACGCCTGACGCTCACGCAGAGACGCTGTGGCTTTGTGCACATTCAGAAAAAAAAAGTTGTTCATATTTTGAAAAAAAAATTGTTCATATTTTGGCATGGGTGGCTTGTGCGTAAAGCGCTCGCCTCTCACCAAGGTGACCACGGTTCGAATCCTGGCCGCGGATCGCATGCGAGTAGAGTTGTGCGTTGGTTCTCTCCTGTGCCACGTGGGTTTTTCTCCTGGCCCTCCGGTTTTCCTCCCTCCGGAAAAATCAAACACTTTCGATCGCAGGCTGTGCTCTGTGGTCATATGGGTTGATGTGGCCGGCAGCCATAGGCGCCTTTAACGTGCCAGCGTTGTAGCCGCGTCCTTCGCAATTCAGCTTCTCAGCTGCGAGTAAGGATGATTAGCCTCCCAAGTTATTATTATTATTATAAGCGCGCGAAATTACATCTGTGTAAACACCCATATTGTCCCTCTTTTGTTCATACTTTTTAGGAAGACCTACCGTATGTTTTGTGCACGATCACACATCGTGGACCTTTGGTCAACCGTGGATCCTATTGTCCTCTATTGTTCAACATCCACAATTTGAATATGTGTACATTACCAGTAGGCATACAAAGTGTGTCCTGTCCACTCTTAAAAGTGGTAAAAAAACGCCCTCTCTTGTTCATACACGGAGCCCATACAGCCATTCACCATCTTGGCATTGTCTGATGTTGTCTTATCTTTTGACAGGTCAAATGCTTATTCCAGAAGGAGGAGAGGGCAAGCTCAAGAAATTCAAGCCTCGTATCTGGCCTAAGGTGGACGTGGTCGTCACGAAGCTGCAAGGAATGTTAGAAGCCAACAGGAAAAGTGGAAAAGGTGACAAGAACATGAAATACCTAATATGTGACCCGTCCCCAAAAATGTGCATTAAGTTGGAAAGGGACAAAGCCAACATTGGAAGGGGTTGTCGATTTTTTGTGTTTTCATTTGAAATTTATTCTGTAAGTCTTTCCCGACTGTTTTTGTTCTATCAAACCTATTTTCATCCTGTTTTATTTGTTGACTGTTCATTCACTGTACATGTAATACAGCAGCGGGATTTTTATGTGCAGTTTTCTCACAATTTCAATTTAGTTGGTGGTCTATATTTCCATTACTGGACTCGGTACCCCAAATGTTATATACCATTTGAAAGCTCTTGTTCTGCAGAATCCAAATATAACAATATCTTAATTTAAAAAAAAACCCACGTAAAGGCCCGTTCATACCTAACACGAAAGCGTAAGGGAAAGGGAAGCGAATTTCATGACATCAACAATGGAAGTTTCTTGTGACGTTCTCCATTAACGAATTAGCTTTGCACCAACATTCGCGTGAAGTATGGTAACGACCTTTATGCTTATTTTGTTACGACGGGTCACATATTTCGGAAAGAGAATGAGACTGACCAAAATGAAAAAAAAATTAACACCTCTTGTTTCTTTTCAGGACCACAATTCTGTATCTAGAGATATCCTCTTCACATGGTATAACCACAATGCCCCCCCCCCTTAAAACTGACTGGAGTATTCCACTAGGATTTAAAAAAAAAACAGGCCCTCCCAGCCTCAACATTTTTGTTCAATCACAAGTTCAATCTCTGTTGTTTCCAACCATTCAGACATGTCTGAGGGACGAGGCACCAGCGCCATGGCGTCTAGCAGCCAGCAGGCCATTTGGACCAAGGGTAGCCGCTCGGACCTGAAGGAGGCCTCGTCCATCAGCACCATCTCGCCGACAATGATGAGGAAACGGGGATACGAGCACAGCACCTCCACCGAGGGTAAGCTCCATAAAGCGCGGCTAACCACTTGGGACTGAACTTTGACTTGCGATGATTTGTGAGGACTTAAACGACAAACCTGCTTTCATGTTTGAAGCAAATCCCATGACACGCTCTTTTGGGATAGTGGTCACTGCTCAGAAACTTGGATCTTAAATACCTCTGGTGGCATGAAAAGATAGATAACTGTCATAAATTGAAGAATTTATTTCCAGAACGCGACATTATCCATTTGAAAAAGTGAAAATTTTGCACGGTTATGAAACTTTCAAAGAATTCAAACAGTATAACAGCTGTTCTTTTTGTCGCCTTATTGTATCATTAAGTTGTGTTTAAGTACATAACAACCGTCGAAATTGCTTTTGGGAAGCCAGGAGAGTGCGGGATTCTAAAAGGGAACAAAATGGCGTTTATCGCGTTTTTGGAAATAAACTCTTCACTTACTGCTGATGCATAACTAACTGTCTAACTGCTGACGACTGTTTATTCTCATCTTCTGTTTCAGCTCCTGCCAACAAGAGGATGCAGTTGGCCCCACAACGCCACGTTCCCAAAAGAGGTAAGTAGGAGACGCGTGAATAATCTGCAATGAATTACTCATGACTGAATAGATTGCTTGACATAGGAGAGACCTGATTTCTATACGGATTGATATTTTATCAGTCTATGAGCGCGAGTGAACAATGAAGTGTGTCTGTGTCCCACATACCACGAGGGCAAAGTCAAGATGCAATAAATTTTCTGTGTTCCACTAGTGCAAGTGGGATAATGAATTTATCTTCAAGCAAACTTGACACACAGTAAAGATGGAACGCGCACGCGGTACACAAACTTTTCAGTGGTTATCCTATAACACGTGTGTGCTGAAGGAACGGCGCGCGCATCTTGGAATAGCGTGACACACAGAGTAAGTTATGGACCGTGATATTGGGTATAATATCACACTGTTGTTGCCAGGGATCGACCAATCGGGATCGAGGATTCAAGTTTGCTTGAAGATAATTGCACATATTGATACAGTTTTCAAATGCTTCACATGGAATTGGCCAAGATGCATTAAGTGCTTAATCAGCTTCTTTTTGGGGGTCTACTTTTTATTTGGATCATACTCTCTTTTTTTTGGAGAAATATTCTAGTGTGGCATTAAGTGTCATGGCAGGCTCTCTATAGGCTGGCAAAGACTATTCCGTTATTTGATTGATTGATTGAATTGTCGGTTTTTCGGTTGCATTTTGTTTTGATTAATTGGACACCACGTTGTGAAAAAAAACGACCTCCTTTCAAAGGGCATAACAGCATTCAATAAAAGATTCTCACTCCAAAAACCTAAACACTCATGCACAAATTTCCTTCAAAAGAATGTGGGACTAAGCCCAACACATTCATACATATATTAGCAATACCAAGTGAGTGAATGGTTGGTTGTTGAACTTGATTCGTCTGTCGTCGGCATCATTTACATCTTGTGTGACAGATTCTTGTTTTTTATTATTTGAAGGTGATGGTTCTGAAGAGAATGGAAGCGGGGATGCCGGAATGCAGGTACGGACCGTTCGTCTTTGTTTCTAACATTCACCAACATTGCTAGCAATCGGTCCCATTTGCACTAACGCTACCAACGTTGGCCAACGTTAGCATTGTTTGTGTAAAGGGTAGGCAGCCCAGGTTTATAAAAGCCACAGACAAATTGAGATTAAAAAGTGGCCGAGGTCAACCATCTGTACAGCCCTGAACTCCAAAGGTCTGTGGCTTAAACTGTCAACATTCTTGGCTCATGTTTCAGATTGAGGACGGGAGGATGCTCTTCAAGAAGCGTCGACACCTGAGCTGGTTGGATGCTCCAGACGATGTATACTTCCACGCTGATGAGAACACCAGGTCAGTACAAGTGATTGATGGAACTTGAGGAGTAGCTTGATTAATCTACCCAAGAATCCTCTCCTGTAAATCATGCTTTTTTATATTGAGGTGTTTGTTTAAAAGCTTTCTTTTTTTTAGAGAGAGTTGCAGATACAAAATTGAAAGAAAAAAGTACTCATGTCAAAATAAAGTTTGAAAATTTGTTTGAAAAAATATGAATTGTTGGGAGAACAATTCAAAGGAGCATTGTGATCCAATAATTATGGTATTCGATACATGTGCCAGGGTACAGGAGTTCGAACCCTGAATTGGGAACATGGTGCTTGTGTTCTTGGGAAAGACACTTTACCACAATTGCCTCACTCAACCCAGGAGTATTCAATGGATCCAGGGGGGCTAACAGGGGGGCTTGGCCTCCCAAAGAACGAACCCATTTAAAAAGAATTTTTTTTAAGTAAAATTTTTTTTAAAGTACAAAAGCAGCCACTGCATACACCACACACAAAACTCAACAAAAGCAATACATAGTCCCCCCCCCCCCTGCTTTTCATATTAAATTTAGGGCGGAACATTTTTGCACCCACTTTTTTGGGAAACAAAAAATTTTTGGGCCCCCCCCCCCCCCCTCAAAAGTGATCTGGATCCGTCCTTGGGACTTGGGAGTATATTTGGGTACCTCGGAAGGTAGAGACCTGATTGCGCTGACCTCGACCTGCTTATAAATACCAAGTATTATCATTATTATTATAGCGCCTGTAATTGTCCTTCCTTTTTACTCACTGTGACTTCTGAAAACCGCCCGAGCACTCAATGATTTTGTGGATCCTTCAGTGAATAAACACAATGCAATGCAGTACAGTTGCTAATGTATTAAGGCACTTGCTTCACTTCAAGTTAAAATTGCAAAACGCTTTCTGTTTCCCTTTGCAGGAAGCTGCGCAAGCAACTGGCCATCATTGCCCAGAAACGCTTGGCTCGGCGCCCCTGGAAGATCATACCTCAGACCAATCGGATGGTCAGCAAAGTCCGATCGGCCGAAACTATCGTCATTGACTGAGCCAGTTGGACTCGGCATCAATTAATCACAGTTTACCAAGTAATATCTTTCCAGGTTTTAGTTCCGATTTGTGAAGCTGCATCTGTGATACAGCTCGGTTGATATACGGTAAACTTTTCTGTACTCCTAAGAAAAATGGAACAAATTTTTCTTGAAATAAATGCCTGGAAAGACAGTTGCATCCTGACGCCATTTTTTTCATCATATATTATCTCAATGAAGATCAGTCACTGCAAAAATGTTGAAAAGACATGAATCTGGGACTGAAAAACATTTCCAATTTTGTTAGAAAATACTTTGCAAATGCACTCAACTCTCCATAGACTTTGTACACAACCAAAGAAGTGGCGCCAGGATACTACATTCTTTCCAACTGCGTCCGTGCAGTGATCATTTCGGCCTTCTCCCATCAACCATGACATGCTTCAAAACACAGCTGTAGCTGCAGTGGTATTTTTTTTCTTTGAAATTTTGCCCTGGTCTCGGCAAATATTGTCAAGTTCTCAGAGTTTTTTGTGCCTTTTTTGGGGCTTAGGAATGTACTGACAGTATTATTTGCACAGTTTTAAGTTTCAGCAAAGCAGAAAATAATAACGAGCATTTATAAAGCGTTTTGTAGGGGGACCATTTTTGTAATATTTAATTCACAAGCAATTTAAGAGTGTTAACCATTAATGTTATCTCACCTGCGTCTCTGTTTATTCCTTTGTCTAAGCAGTGGAACATTATACATATATATTTTTTTGGGGGGAGGGGGAGAAACTATTTTAATTTGTCTTCAAATGTTGCACAGCTAGGTACATGGGTAATGTTTAGCTAAGTGATCTGCTTTTATGCCCTAAAATATTTCTATAATAGCAAATTAACCCCAGCTAAAAAAATAATATGTGTATCGGAGTAAAACACATTCAAGAAGATCTGCCAGGTAAGAGGTTATGTGCAAACATATTGTACAACCTTTTGGCCCATGTGAAATCCTGTATTGAAAAGTATTTTTAGACATTGGTTAAAAAAAAAGAAGTATGGGCCCACTTATGGTGTTTGTATGTAACCTACCAATCTGGGCATAGTTCCTGAACACTCGCAGTAATGGAGTACCGAAGTGAATACGTCACGTGCACAAAATGTGTGTGAAAGACATTAGCGCGCGATTCAGCCCGTGAACCAACACGCACGCGTACTCAATTCGTTTGCACTACACTTTCTGGTTCTAAATGATGTCACACTTCGGTACTCCATGGTGAAGCATTGTGGTAGCTTTGCTCGCAGTAACTGTCATGGAACTTTTGTAAAAAAAGTTGGCACAATTTTTGTACACTGTGAGAATGCAGTGACTCGGTGTATGGATTGAACTGTACAAGAGGACTTGGGTAGACTGGTTCCCGGTCCATTCCATTATTGTTTATTATTATGTAGGCAGGGCACCATTTTCCACCACTGAGGGCGTACTTGTGCAAAGTTCGTAGTTGTATGTTTTCATTGATGCTTTTCCTCGTTATTTCAATTTGAGATTCTTGGGTGGATTCAGACATGGTACATTTTGTAAATACAGTCTTTTTGGACTTTTTCCCTTTTGTGTTAGTATTAACTTAGAAATATGTAATCCTAGTACAAGTGTAAAGCGTAATGGCAGGCATGTTTTTGTTTGTATTTAATGTCCAGGAAGTGTTTAAAATTGGTGGTAGATTTTGTAGGAGTAAGTATGAATGACAAGGTCACATTTTGGTGACCTTTTTATTGTAAAATGTCAGTTTGCTTTTGTCAATCATATTAGAATTACGGAATATCGATTTTTGTAAACTTTCTGTTAACAGTAACAGCATTTGCTGTATAATGCACAGCTTACTGATAGTGGAATTGGGTTTTATGTTGGACAACATAATTTGTTAAGTTACACCTTTTTTTTTACAATGTGAACGATGCATTTTAGTAATAGTCCTACTTGATGCCAACTTAATAAACAAAAAAATCTTTGGAAACAGCGTTTGGTTTTTGCCAACTTGATTCCTTGTTGCCGATTGGTTGATTAAATTGCAACAGAACACAACGCCCTCTCAGTAACGTTGCATGTTTTTTTTAATACACCTCACATCCTATAGTACATTGTACCACCATTTAAAAACCTTAAAAGATCAATTTGTTATTCCGACTCATGATTCTGAAACAAATTTACATGGTACAAAGGGCACACCTATGGTACCCATCATTTCTCCATGTTGCAGGTGGGCTACCAGGATGAATAAAAAATATATTGAAAAAAAAAAACAAATTAAGGGGTGGTTGGGGGGGGGGGGGGTCTTATTGGCCTTACTTGCAGCAGAAGCTGAATTGTGAAGGATACAGCTACATGTGGTCAAATCGAAGGTACATGTATGTAGTGATGTGCCTTGGGCAGCCGCCATATGACAGTGTTGTAGTCGGGACCATCACAAGACCAGACACAAGACCAGCCACAAGTAACATGGCACGAACAAAAGACAAAGGAATGCCTTTGTCAAAGCTAATTTGAGTAGCTTGTGACTTGAATTGAGACATGAGGTCTTGTGATGGTCTTGCAGGGTCTCGACTACAACACTGCCATATGACCCATGTTTACCAGGGGGGAGCACAGCTAGATCGAACGTGTTGGTTTTTGCGAATGAAAATGTAATGAAGCTCCTCATATAGTAGTCTGAACAGACATATTGCGGATTATTGTGGACAGCCAGTTAAAGTTGAATACCGGCCAGTGCATTGATTGTCAGATTGACCTATGACATAGGGGTCAACGTAATTTAAATATCTACGCACAGTAATAGGGTGGTGCATGAAGCCTGATGCATGAGTGTGCCAAGCACAGCCAAGATACGTAGCAGCTAATAAGGCCAAAAAAAAAAGTCTCCGGTTTCTGGTATGCGCGCGCGTCGCCGTAGCCATGCGCGTCGGCAAAATGAAAGAGTTTTTTTTTCAATGAAAGATGATGTCTAAAAACTGCCAAACTCACTGGTTTGACTGGAATCCTGCTGCTGCACAATTTTAATTTGTTTTTAGATTGGGTTATGGTCGAGCCTAAGCTTTATGTGGCCTCTCTGGACTTTCATATATTTGCACAAAGTTTAGTCGGGCACCATTTGCAGTCATCCGACATTTGAAGCAAAAAAATCAGGTAAACAAAAAAAAAAAGCCGCGTCGCCGCACCACTTTTTGGGCAAGCTCCATACCAGAAACCGGAGCCTTTTTTTTTTGGCCTAAGATATTAGAAGCAGAGAAGCTATCCGTTTTTGTTTATATGGCTACATACGAATGACTAAGCGGCTACGGCTTGCAATAACACATGCCCCTATGGAAGCAGTTGAAGCCACTACCCATAAACTCATGTATTACAGCCAGCCGTAGCCAAGTTATATTGGACACAGCCTATGGCTACAGTCTATAGCCCACACCTAGACTGGAAAGCTGATCTAACACACAAGGACAGCCTCGGAGATTTCATTGGTAGCTGTGCCCACGGACCCTGTGCTGTGCCTTATTAAATTCAGTTCATGATATGGCCGTGTCCGAGTTACTTGGCTACGGCTTGAAATTACACAGTTGTCTATGGCAGTGGCTGCAGCCACTCCCCATAAATGTGTGGGTAATTTCAAGCCGTAGCCAAGCAATTGAAATTACTCACCCGTCTATGGTAGCGGCTGCAGTAACTCCCCATAGATGTGTGTGTAATTTCAAGCCGTAGCCAAGCAATTGAAATTACACACCTGTCTATGGTAGCAGCTGCAGTCACTCCCCATAGACTTGTGTGTAATTTCAAGCCATAGCCAAGCAATTGAAATTTAACACCTGTCTATGGTAGCAGCTGCAGTCACTCCCCATAGACTTGTGTGTAATTTCAAGCCATAGCCAAGCAATTGAAATTACTCACCTGTCTATGGTAGCAGCTGCAGCCACTCCCCATAGATGTGTGGGTAATTTCAAGCCGTAGCCAAGCAATTGAAATTACTCACCTGTCTATGGTAGCCGCTACAGCCACTCCCCATAGACTTGTGTGTAATTTCAAGCCGTAGCCAAGCAATTGAAATTACTCACCTGTCTATGGTAGCAGCTGCAGTCACTCCCCATAGACTTGTGTGTAATTTCAAGCCGTAGCCAAGCAATTGAAATTACACACGTGTCTATGGTAGCGGCTGCAGCCACTCCCCATAGACTCCTGTGTAATTTCAAGCCGTAGACAAGTAATTCAGACATGGCCTATCAGAAGTAAAACCATTCTTCCACTTCAACCCAAGTTTAAGAAAGGGGGTCAAAAGTGATCACCACTAGAAACAAATACAAAAAGAATTCATGCCCAAACGTTTGATTGTTTCTCTCCACTTCAAAATTCCTTTTCCTTGGCACATACAAGGCCATTTTTATTCTGCGAAGTGACGTAACAATCTGTTATTTCTTCATAAATATTGCTTCAAATATGGACAAATAGATCATTTCATAACAACTATTTTACAGTCATAAGAATTGTGTGGGGTACAGAACATGTCGCACTTGTTTACAAAATGCTGTGGTCATGTGGTCCTGAATTCCAGCAAACCGTTCTCCTCAGCACTGCATTTTTATCACTTGAAATACTGGTGGTATGAAAGTATGGACATTAACTGTACAATAAGGGAAATTACCGATAGGAAGATGCTTGGTCACTGTTGTTTCTGTCAGCAACCGACAAATATAGCCTCACAGGTAATGTTGTGCATCGGGTCGGGTTGACCAGGCCAAACCAGCAAGAAACACAGATATAAACCGATTTCAAACCGAAACTGATCTGATCTCCCCTAATCCGACCCGACCTGACCCAACAAAACTTCAAGCTAAAACTGACCCGAAAAACCCCCCAGAATATCTGGCTCTGGGAACTGTATCTGCTTTTTGTGCCTGAACTATACCTGTGTCGCGTGAAAATCGTCATCTCTCAGTAAAGAATCCTACTGTATGGTACGGTAAAGACTCGTAACATTACCTACTGGTTGGCCTACACGTTATAGACAGTGCATGATAGACCGCAAACCACATGCACATGGGCGCGGTGGGTTGACGTTGGTCGTACCGGGCACACTAACTCTGCAATAATATTGCACCGCATGAATTTCTGAACTGTTTGGGGTTGGGTCAGATTTGCACAACATTAATCACTGGTGATAAGGTCGATTATTATCTTCAAGCAAACTTGAATCTTCATGATTGGTTGACCCATGGTAACAATCCATTGTATATTATTCCATACACCACGGTCCTTAAACCACAGCGAGTATCACACTATTCTAAAATACACACCCTATTCCTGCTGCGCACACAGGTAATAGGATTACTGCTGAAATCTTCACGTACAGCGTACGCGTTCAATCTTTAATGTCCATCACGTTTACTTGAAGATAAACTTGTTATCCCACTCATGCTCATGGGATAACTAATAATGTAGTCCATGTGTCTCATGTGCCATAAACAGGGGCCAATTTCATAGAGCTGCTTAAGCACAAAATTTGCTTTAAGCACAAAAACGTCTTGCTTAATAAAATCAGGTTATTGGCCAAAACTCCATGCGATTGTTATGCTAAGTAAACAACAGCTAAATACCAGTCACAAGCAATGTACATCACATGGAGTTTTGGCCGGTAACCTAATTTTACTAAGCAATGTTTTTTCGTGCTTAAGCAAATTTTCTGCTTAAGCAGCTCTATGAAATTGGGCCCAGGCATATGTAACACTGACGCACTACATTTTCAGTTTTTCACAAGCATGAGTGGTATTACAAATTTAACTTCAAGCAAACATGACAAACGGTAAAGATGCAATGTCCATGCTGTACACAACCTGTTCAGGGGTAATCCTATTAAACGTACCTAGTGTGCTTATCTTAGAATAGCGCGATACGTGGGGTGTGGTGTGGACTGTGGTATAATACTACACTGTTTGTTGCCATGGATCAACCAATCAGGATTGAGCATTCCAGTTTGCGTGAACAAAACTTCAACCATCTCATAGTTGACCTCCTGTGAACATTCCTGTTGATTCATTTGAAATTTTGAATCCACAGAAATTTCTGACATCATACCAGCAGAAAACACAAGACTGTGATCCCAAGTAAAAAAAAATGGACAAAGATCTATTGATAAGCACAGCGGGCACTTTATCTTCTTGTAAAGTTGATGTACCCTGTAAAGCTATAATGCCGACAGTGAGAGAAATTTTCAGAAAGATCTCTGCATTAATCACCCAAGCTAGTAAGCCCCGCCCACACAGCAAACGTTGGCGGCAACAACTGTGTCTCAAATGCCACACTGCATGCTCCAGCCGCACTCATATTTATACACGAGTGCATGCGTGTTGGATTATTTGTCAGATATTTACTTGAGCAGTCACGGCTGTGACTGGCCAAAACATCATTGGGTGAGGCTACATGAACTGTTTCCTGGTTCAGTTTCAAAAGCTACGACCGAAGATTCTTTAGCTGAAATATTTATCAGAGTGTGGAGTCGTCAACGTCCATTTCGAGATCTCTGCCTCTGACTCGTCCTCTGACTCGTCCTCATCCTCGTCCTCATCCTCGTCCTCATCCTCGTCCTCATCCTCGTCCTCGTCTTCATCCTCATCCCCATCCTCATCCCCGTCCTCATCCTCGTCCTCAGCCTCAGCCTCATCCTCATCCTCATCACCATCCTCATTCTTGTCCTCCTCCTCCTCCTCATCCTCTTCAGGAAAACTCTCCTCGGCATATCTAGCGATGTAGCACTTACGTTTACCGGGCATCTTCATCCGGTGCCTCCAAGGCTCTAAGAACCTCCTGGCGTCTTGTCCGTTCCTCCTCTCACCCTTCCTCCTCTCCAACACCGCCGTGATGCGCCTCCTCTTGCGGCCGCGGCGCAGCTCTACTAAGACTTTGGAGCTGGGCCTGTTACCTGCCCGGCCCTGCTCATCGTCCTCCTTTGGGATGTGGTCATCATAGCTCACTGGATCCATGAGGGGGGTTTTGAGAAGTTTTGTGGCCACTGGCACATCTGACAAGTAATCAGGAAAAAGCAATGTTTCTCTGTGAGGTTCTTTTGTCCAATAAAATTGTTTATAGTCAGGTGGCATACGGTTGGAATCGTGACCGACTGGTCCAAAGCACCAAACTTGGCAGATAGATTCTTATAGCCCCAGAGAAGATATTTAGAAGGGGTGACACCTGAAATTCTTTTGGGAAGAGTGCCTAATTTGCATAAAGCGTTAATCCCCGTTGTGTAATATATTTATTCCCATATTTGGGTAGATGTTCATTTTTTAATTTTTTGAAAAGTATATTTTGGGGATTTTACTTACATATCCTTTACTTAAATAACATTTTCTAAAGAATATCGGAGACTTGAAGATTATGAGGATATAATAAAGATCCAAAATGGCTACCATTATACCCTCAAGTTGCGCGCATTTCCTTTTCCCTCAGATATCATCAAGTAGTCTTGCCAAACCTCAGAAATAGTGAGCTTCAAATTCACAAAGTTACCTAATGACACAGTTACCCTAACAAAAATAAATGGGAAAGCATGTGAAAAATTATATCATCTTGATATTTAGCCCACAAAAACAAAAAGGGGGGAAAATGAGGTGTCCGTAAATTGGGCTAAATATCACAATGGTATCATTGTCCACATGAATTTCCACGAAGTTTTAATCGAGTAACTGTGCCAGTAAGCAACTTGGTGACTGTGAAGCTCATCAATACTAAGGTTTGGCAAGACTACTTGATGATATCTGGAGACAAGGTTAATGCGCGCAAATTTAGAGTATAATAGTAGCCATTTTGGATCGTTACTATGTCCTCATAATTTTCCAGTCAGTCTTAAATGCCTTAGAAAGGATGTGTAAGTGGAATCACCAAAATATACTTTTCAAAAAAAAAAAAAAAGTACTCAAATATGGGAATAAACATATAATACGGTAGGGATTAATGATTTATGCAAATAAGGCCCCCTTCCCAGAAGAATTTCAGGTGTCGCCCATTCTAAATATCTTCTCTAAGGCTATAACAATATATCTGCCAAGTTTGGTGCTTTGGACTAGTCGGTCATGATCTTGTCAAAAATTGGGTCTAAGCCACCTGACTATTATAAACTTGAAGATATATTAAACAAATGAATCCTCCCCCCCCCCAAAAAAATTCCCAAACAAACAAAGTAAACAGCAAACTTGAGGGTCTGAGCCATGAAAGTGTTACTTAAATTGCCGCCATGGACGACCCATATGGGGCCAATTTTGTGACGCTCCTAAGCACTGAAAATTTAAAGTCACAAGAAATATTGTTTTCAGAAGAAAACGGTTAGTAGCAGCTCCTTGAATTGGGCCCTTGGAACCAGCCTTGAGAAGTACATGTATAAAGTAGCAAATGGCTTCCTAATGGTTAGGTTTTGATCCTGAGGATCTTAAATTTGTTTTTAGTCTGGAACTTACCATAAGAGAAAGGTATCTTGTTTACATTTGGAGACTTCTTATCGTACATGGAGTAGATGTTCTTGTGATGATACAGCCTCTTGAGTGCTCTCCAAGCATTGTAGACAGCATCGTCCTGACGATCATCACCTATCTGAAGACGGAACGCAAAGGCTTCCTTCTGTTTGTCCGTCAGATTTTTTTCAAGACAGGTCAAGGCATCAGGCAGGGACTTATCAACTTTGTGTTTGGCCACGAAGACTCTCACTTGAGGCTGTGGCAAAGGCTTCTCAGTTGGGCGAGTACCGGACATCGGCATCACCAACGGCGTCCCATCATTGCCTCTCGTCGCACCCAGGAACGTTTGCAGCTCTTTATTGGGAATACCGACTTTGGCGCTGTCTGGCGGCATGCTTCCAACTGGATTTATCTTGACGGCTCCGAGCGGCAATCCTTGGGCCGATTTCGACTGGACTATTCTGTTTGGGACAACAACATAATTCTGCGCCAGGACCTGATTACTGTTGGCCGCCAGGTTGGGCTGGATGAAGTTCTTGTTGAGTATGACCTGACTGGGCTGTGCCACTTGATTGGCTACAATGATGGGAGTGGGCTGTACAATGAAAGAAGGCTGTGCTTGCACAACCTGGTTGGCTACAACCCTCACGTTATATGGTGCAAATTGGTTGGCGAGAAACTTGAGGTTTGGCTGAGGGGTGGCCATGCTTGCAACCACTGGGTTAGGTTGAGCAATCTCGGCTCCAGTAGTAGTCCCATTCGGACCAGTTTGTTGGTTGGATTGAAGCGCATCACTGACACCAACAGCTACACAGGTTTGTTCATTTGCTTTGCTGATCTGTGGTTGCAAGGCTTCACTAGTAGCAGCATCCCCAACGGAAGGAGCGGCACTGTAAGAAGACACCAAACTTGTTGCCACAACTTCGTTTGCAACAACGTGATTAATATGGTCTGCTCCATCAGATCCACTGACCACACTGGGCACAGAAATCTCATTTCCTTTTTCATTACCAGTAAATACGACACTTATCTGTGGAAATTCATGATCGCCAAATGTTGATGCAGGTGAAGCTTTATCTGAAACAGCCGCGTCAGTTTGTACAACTTCATTACTTCCAACGTCCAAACTGGGCAGGATGACTTCTTGTGTACCATCAACTGAGTTTGAATGCTCTGTCTCACTGCCTGGAAATTCAGAAATCTCAGTGTTTTCCTGCGCACTGTTTAGTATGTCAGCTACTTCGGTATCTTCCTGTGTGACTTTGTCGGCAGCAAGAACCACATCGGGATCTTTGATCTCCACCGCACCACTCTCCAAGTTTTGTTGATTGCAATCGTCGTCAGCTGCTGTAGGGAGCACATTTTCTGTGCTGCCATTGTGGTGACTGTTTTGTTTCTGGGCTTCAAGGGACTGACTCACATCAACTTGACCCTCAGGTTGATTAAAGACAGTTGGCATAGGTGTACTGACTTCTTCTGAACCAGCCTCAGGGACTGGAGTAGCCTGCTTGTCAGGAAGGGGACTTTGCTCGACCAGAAAATATCGCTTGTTGTTAATGTAAAACATTTGACCTGTAGTGGGCGGTTTTGGTCTCAGTTCAAGCTGATTATTATTCCAAACAGACTTTTGAATGATTGACTGAGGGGGCAATGGTTTCAGAATGCCACCAGATGTTACCATGTTACTCTGGGATGTGGGCACTACGTGCCTAACATTTGATGGTTCTGAGCTGATATCAGTCGGTGGAGTCCAAAACTGGTTCTGGACAACATTGGAAGGGACTGAGTTACTCTGAGGCGTTGCAACTGAGCTACTCTGGCTCGAAACACCTTCTTTAGATTCGGTTGACTCAGCAGAATCCATCGCTCTGAACTCTGGGTGCCGTTTGCGGAAGGCGTCCCACCAAATGTCATCAGGCATGTTATTTGGGAAGGAGTTCAGTCTCTTAATTCCTAGCGACTCCTCTTCATCTAAGAGCTGCTTGATCTTGGACATGACGATGGTTTTGACATCGGACGATTTTCCAAGCACTGTTAGTTTGATGCACAGTTTGACTAGATCGTCCTCTTCCTTAGTGGTAAAGACCCACTGGACCGACTTAAGCTTGCTCTTGAGTCCCTCCAGAGGGACTTGAAAGGCCTTGCTCGCCTCATCGATTGTCAACTCGTCTGAGGAAACGGCTTCGCAGGCCTGCTGTAGGTTCTCTTCATAGGAGGTGCTTGTCAGAGACTGATTTACTCGGCGACAATCCGGTGTGAACTGCTTGCTCTCCACCGCTTTGACTCTCTCCTCCAAAATGGCCGGGATGACACCAAAGACCACGGAGGCCCGCTGCAGGGAGTACGTCTTGTCCAAGACGCCCTCGCAGGCCTTGGTCAGATTGCGCTTGAGCTGGTCGTTGACGTAATCGCTCAGGACGTAGCGGCCGACTCTGTACTGCTGGGCAGTGTCACTTACGCTCTTCCCTCTGAATATGACTGCGTCGCATGCTTGCCTCAGATTACTCACATGCTGAGCCTCCGCTTTGTTGAGAGAGCTCTCCATGATTGAGTCGGCTGCTGCATAAAAAGAGAGCCAGAGAGACAATTAATCTTGGCCCTTCATTAAACTCCTATGTAATATTCAGTACGATTTACAAGTTGGGAAAGGTATTTACCCTCCAGCTGTCTGAACAGTCACAGATAGTCAAAAAATCAATCTGCTTCCCTGCCATGGCTTTTATACAGGCTAGTCATCAACATTCAGATCATGTTTCAAGCAAGCACTCTGACTAGTCAAATTCAGTCAATGGACAAAAACAGCCAAGTGGTAAACACAGCTTGTTTATCAATCACCTACAGTCAAATCATAGCTGCATCAAGTTACAAAAACAGTCACAGCCAGTCAATCCTGTTTTATGTAGGCTGGGAGCTCTTAACAGTTAAAAACAGTCACTTGACTGATTTTGACTGAAAGGACAACTTTGCACGGACTGTATATTTGCATAGGAGGGTTAAAAAAAAGCAAAGTTACAAGCAAATGTTGATACTATTTCAATATTTACCCTTTCCAGAGTTAGTTTCCTTGTCAAGGTTTGCAGCCGGCCACACAAACTGACCGGATGGAATCTGGGGTATCTCCTCTGCAAAACAATTCCATAAATGCACAATTAATTCACTCAGTTCACTAACTACAATGATCTTTTTCCTGAGCTTGGTCACGGATGGGAACCACAAACCGACTTCATGAAAACAATCTACCATGCTCCACAAATAATGAATACCAAGACAGACAATCTTGTCTTGGGAAACTCTGATTGTATGAAAACCATATGAATATTCGATCCAGCAAAAGCCATTCGAATATTACGATGATGATCCAATAGTTGAACATTCAGCCTATTTGGGAAAGCCCTTATCTGTTTTGGGTGGCACCTTAATTCTTTCAAGCCTTTGAGAGCATTTTGAGCTTTGCATTTTAATTTCCAATTTGCCATTGGTTCAAACTCACTCACCTGTTTGTTTTTTGTAGCAATCTCGACACAGCCACTTCCCTTTGGGTATGTTCTTGGGGTCGACGCCGGCACAATCATAATGAAGCCACTCATACAGGCACCCCAGACCATCGCAGCCAATCATATGTTCTGTGTTGGGCTCTCTGCATTTGCAGAAAACCTGCTCCGGTTCAGACGCTGACTGGTCACTCTCCATGCTGGACTCGTAAGAGTCATCCTCATCCGATTCGGAGGACTCTATCACCTCCTTGTGCCGTCTCTTTCCAGGCATCTTGAATGGTCCAGCTGTTGCGTCACCTTGAGGGGTCTGTATCTCGCTGGTTACCTCAGCATTGTAGTTGGGCGACACAGGCAGTGTCTGGAGTCAAACGCTTCAGTGGATGGCTTGTCTAATGGGGAAAATTGGGAACGGAGAGGTTTAAAGACACGTAGGAACATTGGCAATTCCCCGAAATCGGACATACTGATTCAACGAGTCAAACCTAGCTCAAAATGAAGATAGGGCTGATACCAAAACTCTTAAGACATTACTTCACCTGAAATGGTATTGTTGGTAAAAAAAACCTATCATTGAAGGGGGTTATAAAAACACATGCCAATGGGCACGCTTTCTTACGTGTTTCATCAACAGAATCCAGTTACAAGATCCCCAAAATAGTGCCTATATTTTCTCTCTTTTTTTCTTCAAAACGTATAGCAGCCACCGAGCTGAAACTTCCACATTAGTTTAATGCATCGTACTTGATTTGAGCTTCAGTGATAAAATTGCATAAAAAGCAACCTGAATATTATTTCCATTTGTTTTTTTAATGGAGATCCCCCTGCAAGGCTTAAAGCCACTTAAAGTAAAAAGATTAAAAAGATGTTCATCAATTTATTTATTTTAAAAAGTTTTTTTGCGAGCACTGAAAAAAACGATCTTGCATTTTTCTCGTGCTATTTCATTTTTTGGATAGGGTAACACAGGCTAGAATCTGTGGGGAATTGTTCATAGAAAAGTTTTCAGAAAATTGTGACACCTTTTTCCCACTCGTGGTAAACAAAAGGTTTGCTGAATATTTTGATGTTGCTTTTGTTAGCACTTCAGACGTAATTTAGGGATTTTTTTTATTGGGCCACATTCAATTTTTGGATAGGGTAACACATCAGAAACAAGGGCGGATCCAGGGGGGCCCAACAGGGGCAAAAAAAACACACACCAATTTTTATATTTTTTTTAGTGACATCGTTATAAAGGCAGGCACTGCATACACCACCATCTTTTCCTCCCCCCAAAAAAATTGGTCAAAGTGGTCAGAAATCAGAAATTGCCTCAGATCGCACCACAGATCATTTAGAATCCAATAAAAATAAAAAAAGAACCCCACACCATAATTTTTTTTACCCACTTTTTTGGGGACCACATTTTTTTTTGGCCCCCAAAAAATTGTGTTCTGGATCAGAATTTGTTGGGAATTGCTGAAGAGTTTTCAGAAATTTTGGACACTCCCCTCCCCCCTCAATTACGATATAAAGTAAACTATTCACTGAACAGGCTTTTTGCAAAGGGCGGTGGTAGTATTTAGGATGCTTGTACTGTAGTCCAACTCAGACACATAAGAAATGACATAACTTCACTGCTTTCTTACACACTGCAATTTTATGCATTTCTCAGGCCTCACTTTTAAATAAATCTTCTATGAATGAACATGCAACCGATTTAATAAAATTTATTCTACCTACTATCTTTCTTTTCACTTTACAAATGCATATAATAACTGGAAGGATGTTCTTGTGGTAAATCCATGAAATGCACCGCAATTGTATGAAGTGTATAGGCGTCACATCACAAACTGATGTTTGGCGTAATGTGAACAAAAGAGGAAACAGTATTCAACACTTCATGATGAAAATAAAAAACCATTACATTCTTCATTGTGCAACCAACGTTTATCTGAATGTCACAAATAATTCATGAAATGTCACTGTTCAGTTCATAAAGAAAATATATCATTTTGATGACATGACAGACTCACACAAGTCGAGTATTTAACATTTTTTTCTTTTAACTTCTTGCCGACTCTACTGGCCTTCATCATGCTTTCCAAAATGACAAGAAAACCAAAATCATCATTTCACTGCCATGTTAAGTATGTGCATTTGCAGATTATATGTATATCAAAAAAAGCGGGGGATTGCCAGCGAAACAGCCCAATTTGCATGAACACAAAAAAACGTACACCTTTTCTGCTTTGTAGTATAGCGGTGACATTCAAATATTTGATTATCCAATAAATATTCAAACAACTTCATTAGCGTGTATGGAGTACATTCATTCAAATCAAAGTTTGCATATTCAAATACTAAAATTATCCAAAAGTGCACAGCCCTCACACACAAACATGTATACGTCCATGATATTTTTAACCCATTGGATTAAAAGCATTCACATTAAATTAAATATTGAATAATCTAATCCACAAATAAGTAAATATCTTTTTAAGAAGAACCCATAAAGGAACATAATAATGGGTTATTCAGATTGGATCTGAAAATGTGTTCCTTTACTTAGCAACATTTCATGTTCTCTACCAATTCCTTCAATGCATGAGATTGAGGATCACAGTGACGTGTCAACCAGACCAACTTTTTTTACACAAACTAAAATCCTGGGCAATGTAAGAAGTTGAATTTCACGTTAAAGACCACAAATGGTCGTGGTAGTAAACTCGTATTTTCATGATATAATACAATACGTCATATCTGAAAGAGTGAATTTTCTTGTGTCCGGGGATTTAACTTTTTCATTTTGAAGGATTCTGCCCTTCAGTGACATACGTTATGAGCACTGTTTATGCAGTGCTGTCAAAGAAAAGCTTGTTAGCAAATTTCACAAGTTTTCTTGGGTGGGACTCAGAACCCACGAATAGCTGACGCAAAGAGTCACCAGTCCACTCTCACTGATAGTTCTCAAATCGCCGCGTGACAAAGCACTTCCTTCGGTTCCGCTTCTTGACCTCAAACTTCCAGGGTTTCAGGACCCTTCTCCTGTGTTTACCCAGCCGGTACCTCCAGGGCTCCAGGTAGACGCGTCGTCGCTTGGCCTTCATCGAGGTGATGCGCAGCAGTGCCCGCTTCCTGCGCTTCCTGCCTAGGTTGCCGACGAGCAGGGACAAAGACGTCTTGCAGGATTCGTCCGGGACGTAGAAGGGACCGTTGGGACATGGGGACCAGGGTGGGATGTCGCCTTCAGTGGTTGGTACATGCGGGCGTTTTGGACCATCTGGAAACAGGAAAGACAACAAAGAAACTTTAATAGAAAATACATGGCCATGATTGTTTCTTTCATACCGTGACCAATGTCTAAAACAATGTCCAATTGTTTGCAGAATTGTGTTGGATTTTGTAAATTGGAGCAGGAATCTAATACGATTGACTCTTAACCCTAACCTCCCCTACTCCATCCCCCCATTTTGGTGGATTTTGGGGGACTTGGTCCTGCAGCCCTGGTTTGACTAAATATTGATGGAATATGATGGACTTGGGCCTGGAGGCCTAACGCAAAGCCTCATTGAAAGCAGTGTGATTGATGAAGTTTGGCAGACTTGGTCCAGTACTTAGTAAAGACAGCAGGGGCAGGGTTAAAGGAAATGAACCTTTTATGATAAATGAGGTAGTCATATTATTTGTAAAATTTTTGTGGCACTCTCTTAAATCTAAAACCAAACAAAGAACCTCTTTCCAAAAGAGTGTAATAAATAAACAACCACTTGCCAAATCCACAGAAACTTGGCTCCCAGAAACTGGAGCCAGTTTCTGGGAGCCCAGATTCTGGACTCGGGACTGGATGACTTGTGATGACTTGTGACGGCTCGACGCCAATATGATAGCAACAATATAAGGAAATCATTTGTTGTCTTACCTTGTTCCTTTTTCTGAGAACCATCACATAGGCATTTAAGAGCTCTCCAGGCAGAGTACACCACATCAGAATCACTCTCATCACCACTCTTGAACCGCTTCTCAAACAAGTGTTTCTGTTTCTTGACGATGATAGCTTCCAGACACTCAAGGGCGTTAGGCTCCACCCCCCGAGGGCGTTTCTTGGGGCTAAGATCTGAACTCTGATGGGTCTTCTTCAGATTGTTGTTCTGGTGTTTCCAGGTTATCTGAAGAGCTGTGTGTTTCGGTTTTTTGGAATCCTGCGGGACAACCCGGCATAACTTCGAGATGGTGTCTTGGACCGACAGGCGCACTTTCATCTTGCTCTGTCCCTTTGGTAGCTTTGAGGACTCGTGCTGCTTCTTCAGCTCCTCTATCTTAGGATGGCGTCTGCAGAAGGCCTCCCACCAGTCCTCCCGTGGCAGGTTGTTCTTGAAAGGATGCAGCCGCTTGATGCCCATCTTCTCCTCCACGTCCAGGAGGACCTTGACGCTGTTGACGACACTCTCCCTGACCATCGGCCAATGGCCTTGTTTGCACATGTTGATGGCCATCTCCACCAGCCTCTGCTCTTCGTTCGTAGTCAAGATGGGTTTGACGTTGAGCTGCTTGGAGATGGCTTCCATGGAGAAGCCATAGGCCTGGGAGGCGGACTGGATGGTCATCTTCTTGGCCAAGATCTCCGAGCAAACTTGCTGAAGTTTAGATTTCCAATCTCCGTCAAGCCCTGCAACTGCAACACAGAACACAAGAATTTTAAACTAGATACCAACTGTCCTTGGAGCATTTGCTATTGCATCAGTTGAAGGTTGATTCTACCTGCCTTAGGTCAATATCTTAGACACTTGAATATTAGGCTTCAAGATTCTGCCAACTTACCATTTTTAATCGGGCGGCAGGCCTCGCAGAACCACTTTCCCCGCGGCACCTTCTTTTTGCTGAGGCCCACGCACTTAAAGTGAAACCACTCATACTTGCACTTCTTTCCATCGCATCCGATCATGTCGTCCGTGTTTGGGGCACCGCACTTGCAGTACACCCGGTCGTCATCCGAGCCCGACTCGGACTCTTCCGAGTCGCTGGATTCCGATTCGCTGGACGTCGCAATCTCCTTCCTGGTTTCGTTATAGCTCTTTCTAGGTGATATTCTTGTTGGCTTTGCCTCTTTGGTCACGATTTCTTTCGAGCCTTGGACACTGTCTGCCTTTGAGTCTTTCCCTGAGGCAGACGCTTCTCCGTTCCCAACGTTCATGTTGACTTCCGGAGAGGACATTGTGAATGAGTTACTGTCTACCTCATTGATTTGCCATCACAATGGAGAAGGTATGCTCTTCCAATCCCAAGATGCAGCTCATTTAGAAAAAAAGTGTCACATCAGACCATCCTGTGGCTTGATCCTTCTAGCTGTTTCAGTCACATTTCACGTTTCTCTGGATTGGAAAAAAGAAATAAGGTAAGCCATCTTTGATATCCTTGCCATTCTTCTGAGATCATTCATCCTGTACAAGTCTATTCCAAGGGAACTTCAGTGCTAAGATGCATTCATTTTTATATCTTCAGAAGATGTTGTTTTTATCTTCAATTCAACTTTCGATCATCTAATGCTGCTTGCTTTCTTTTCACGCGAACAGTTTGTTCTACACAAACAGTTTGTGGTATTGGGAACAAAAGCTTTCCCTTCCACGCACCTTGGCAGCCAAGACTGCTCTGCATCCAGGAACCATCATGAACCCACTTAATCCAAAACAGTGGCATGTTTTTGATACAGATTTCCCCCCTCATCCTAACGTTGGGATTCCTGATACCCTTATTTTTTGTGGAATTCAGAATTCAAAAAGCAATCAAATGAACAAAAAGCTACATAATGTACATTGTTCCAGGAGTAATATGAGTAAATTTGTGTTTGCACTGTGTGACGAGAAATCTCTTATGTGAGATTGTTCAGAAAAGAACCAACCAAAACTCAAGGTTTCCGATGGTATGCTCTGCAATTAACAGTATGTATAGTGAAATGACTATTGTTTCACACACTTAACTGTTGCAACAGCCTCTAGTCTATGCTACAGTAAACCAAATCTCATCACTATAGAGCTAAACAAATAGAACAATTTACTCAGTGACCTTATGAACTCAACTCACCTCTGACAATGTCGCCCTCTTGCATTTTGAGTGAAGCCGCCCAGTTCCGAGATGTCTACCGCTGTTTGATGTACAGAATCGTACAAACTTTAGCTGAATGCACTGCCATACCAATTTTAGAACAGCGAAGGCGAAGAGTGGTTCAAATCATTTGACGCGCATCAAGAATTTTTTCTCGAACTTTTTTTACCCAATGCAAGAAGGTGACAATGCAGACATAGCACATTTATATTGAAAGCATTTTAAATCTATTAAAGGGAAATTTGGGGAGGTAGCTTCGCTGCTTGTCGCCCACGAAGTCGCCTGCTTTGCAAGCAAGTCCCCTGATTTGCAGGGGATTGCCCTTGATGCAGGCAATCAACTATTGCAGCCTAATTTGCATTTGAGCGACATGATGCGATGGTTACATTCACGTTGTGCTTTACAGTTTAGCGATATCACTGTAAGGTTTTCATGTACGATTTTCAGGACAAGGGGAGCTTTGCAAGAAATGATTTTTGCATTCTTCTTAACTGCTTAACTCCCCATTTACCATCTTTCAATGTAAAAACATTTCTTTAAAAAGTCAAGATAATACTATTTTTTTCAACGCAAAGGCCTTACAAATACCTTTGAATTAGAGGAAAGTTTGCCCTCCTTAACACTAACTCCCTAGCATAATTTACTAGGAACAGTACCCATCCTGGCAAATTCCAACACCCACATGGGTAATCGTACACACACTGTTGGACTTAGTTTCTGGAGGTATGCCAAATCCAGTGTAAAAGACCATCAGTTTTGGGGTACTGTACCTATCCCAACAGATTTAAACAAAACCTGCTGTTGAACTTTGATGGGTTTAGTTCGGTAAGGGTTAAAACAGTTTTTAAAAGGCTAACAAATGGTTACAAGCGCGCACGGATTTCATTGACAAGAATATGACCCCGACACGAACTGCATATTTCATACACATTTTTGAACTTGCATCATACCTCCATCCACCATCCCTGGACCCAGCCCTATAAATGTGGCCAATTTAATACTGGACTACCTCCGTAAATAAAGGCCACACTTGGAACACGTACCCGAACATGTAGAACTTTGTCAAGTTTTGATTTTCATATTTAGACAATGTTTGTGGTTTATTTACATGTTAGAAGCACACTTACCTGCTTTAAAGCGATAAAAGAAAAGTCCCTCCTTTTCTCAGAAGTCTATTTTTCGTGTAATTTCCAGGTTCGTTTGCACACGTTTACGTATCCACACTCTAACACAAACTTACATGAAAAATAGACGTCTGAAAAATGAGAGACTTCTTTTCTATAGCTCTACAGAAATGACAGAGGCAATGCTAAATTAACTACAAATATAGTCTAAATGTGAAAATCTAAATTTGACAAAGTTCTACATTTTCAGGTACATGTTCCAAGTGTGCCCTTATTTACGGATGTAAACCAGTAAATTGGCCACATTTATGGGGCTACCCTGGACCAGGATGGATCAGTCTATTGCCGGCTGACGGCATTGCTTCATTTTCCTATAACGAAGTAGAAAGTCCATACCTAGGCCTATGCGCTTGTGTCAATGGGTAACAAATGCCAAGGTTCTCAAACGTTTCTTCCCTTTTAAAAAAATCCTGAAGCGCCACAAAGCAGAAAAAAACATGTGAAGTTGAGAATCTACCATGCACATTTAATAAATGTTAATGTCAAATTTGCACTCGGCAAGGTCATCTCAGCCAAACAGACATGCAATCATCTTAACTCTGATATTTTTTTTTGGAATACTGGTTTATTAATGTTGTTAATGTCAAAAAATTTCGATGACCAACTGTCGGAGACGGACATTAAAAAAAAACTATGTTGAGTCCAGACGCCAAGCTTTGTGACGGAGTCTGGTTTACTGCAGGACTGCCTTGCAACGTTGGTGTCTTTCGCTATCAAAACTTTTACGTCACTACACTGGCACTGCCTGACTAATGGGAAACTTTATACAAGAAAAGAAATTACCCACAAGATGTGTCTATCCAAACTGGGCAGAAATGTTCATGATGTTCAACATGGCGGCCGCTGGTCCCTACCGTATCAAGAAATTACACACTCAACCGGTTGTTTTTTTCAGTGCAGCATTGCCATTGCGTACGACGTCATATCAGCGCGGGTACCAATATGCAAATTTTCTCTTGCCACCTTTTTTTACCCAATGGTGCGGCGCCGGCAAACCACGGCCAACTGACGAGTTGTGAAAATGAGATTTCTTACAGGATTAGAAACTACCGAAATATCGCCCCAAGAAAACGTAACTCAGAATTCAAAGTACTTTTAAAAAATACGCCTAATATTCGAACTTACGGTCTTTTGAAGAGTGTTTTGTGCAGAATTTCCTTAGTTGAGATCCACAGATAAGTCAGGCGGGAGACCCGCGAAATCGTTGAACATGTTTCTCGTTCCGAACTACAATCGTCGGGTGGTCTTGAATTGTTATATATCAAACCGCGTGAGACGTCTGGGTTGCCATTTTCAGCACCATCATGTAGTTCTAACCACGTGAGGGCGCTATTGCGAGGCGGTATTTTTGGAATGTTGAAGTTGTTCTTCGACGGATCTTCAAAATTTGCTTCGTAATTCTGGAGGTATTATAACAATTAATCTTCTCGTGATTCATTTGTAAAGCTGTGTCTTAAGAGTACAGAATATAAAGACAGCACATTCAATGATAATAATGCATAGATAGGGTTATTTCTTTGGGAAAGTGACTGTGGTATGACATGATTAATTTAAGCAACATTAACATAATTTCATAAACTTGCAAGTTGCAGTTGCATAGTGTCAGTGTCATGCATGACGATGACGTCTGTGTCAGTGTGTTGCACTTGCAAGTTGCAGTCGAGCTATCATAATGTCATTGCATTGGTGGCATTGGTTCTTGTGTAGTTACGGGCCCCTCGTTAGTTTTGCTCACCTTAGCCTAGAGTCAGAGTGGGAATGAATTTCGTACCAGACGTCACTTTTTTTCAATACATTCTAGCCCCAAAAAGTTGCGTTCTGTATAATTCCACTTTCCCTCATCAACTCTCACCCTGTCCTTTCTTCCATTTCTCTATATTAACCAGTTACTACTTACTTACTTCACGGAGATCCATGGTGATTTGACCTGCGGACCCTCTTCTTTGAAACCCACTATAAAAGCCTTAACCGCTACACTGCTCGAAAGCGCTTGTATTGATTGAAATAAGACTCAAATTATAGGTTTTGCCCTTCACCGACATTTAAACACTGTATACTCAGTGTGTTACCTCCCGAGTGAAAGTTGGAAGAAAAAAAAATGTCGGTGAAGGGCAAAACCTATAATTTGATTTATATCACCCGACGCAACATTCCATCTTATAATAGTTTATGCGGTACCCGCTGCTATGTACATCAGATTCGAACCGGCCGACCGATCCCGTTAGCTCGGTGGTCGAGTGGTAAGACATCTGCACTAGAAAGCAGGAGGTCGTGGGTTCGAGTCCCAACTGAGTGATTTTTCCAACTTTCACTCGGGAGGTAACACACTGAGTATACAGTGTTTAAACGTCGGTGAAGGGCAAAACCTATAATTTGATTTATATCACCCCGACGCAAAATTCCATCTTATAATATGAAATAAGACTAATGAACATTTCATAAACTAAATACATGTATCCATGACAAATTAAATATTAATGATGACGTAATACGCTTTCATTGGGTATTGCGTTGTCGATGTCATGCACACCGCAGTCTTCAATTATCATTGCCAAAAATGGCTGTCTAGACCGTCTGCTGCCGAGCTGATATGTGCATCCAAAAGTTCTCTAAAAACACATTTTTCATGACATTTACTGGCATTTACAGAGCCTCCTGGATTTGTATTCAATGAAATCACAAGGTAGGGTTTTGAATTAAGATTGAAACTATGGAGTAAAATGACGATGAGTTGCAAAAAATGATGGAAAATGTCATATTTTGTCAAAATACTGTTGCAAATCGTGAAAACTAGGGAAAGAAAGATTACTTGAGGTTGATAACAAACTAGTAGTTTATTTCAGGCAGCCTTCTGAGTGAGTTTGCATTTTTTCTCTCTCTCTCTCTTTAATTCAGATTTGAAGTTCAACAAGCTAGGGTGCCCTAATCAATGCTACTTCGTTTCTTCACTTCCCTTTCTTTGGCCTTCTTGAGATGAGTAAGAGGCGACGAGAGAAACATGACATCAACCTCACCAGGGCAGAGCCAGGATTGGCCAAGAAAATGAAAATCTCCTCACGGTAAGAAATGGTGAATTCAAAATTTGCTTCATGCCATCTGCATCTAGGCCTACAGGTACTTACTTATTGCTCGTCCTTGCTTCATGGCATGACTAGTAGAAAGTTTACTCTTAGAGGCAGTGTGGTAACTTGGTCCCAAACTAACTCGGTCCAAGGTCAACTTGGTCCAAGGTCACCTCGGTCCGAGGTCAACTCAGTCCCAAGTCAACTCGGTCCTAGGTCAACTCGGTCCCAGGTCAACTCAATCCCAAGTCAACTCATCTCAAGTCAACTCGGTCCCTATGGAAAAAATAAATGTACGCAAATAAAGGTCGGATAAGTTTAAGGCCAAAAAAAAAAAGTCTCCGGTTTCTGGTATGGAGCTTGCCCAAAAAGTGGTGCGGCGACGCGGCTTTTTTTTTTTTTTTTACCTGATTTTTTTGCTTCAAATGTCGGCTGATGACTGCAAATGGTGCCCGACTAAACTTAGTGCAAATGTATGAGAGTCCAGAGAGGCCACATAAAGCTTATTCTCGACCATAACCCCATCTAAAAACACGTTAAAATTGTGCAGCAGCAGAATTCCAGTCAAACCAGTGAGTTTGGCGGTTTTGAGACATCATCTGTCATTGAAAAAAAAACTTTTTCATTTTGCCGACGCGCATGGCTACGGCGACGCGCGCGCATACCAGAAACCGGAGACTTTTTTTTTTGGCCTAAGGTCTCTTGTATTGTTGATGTACCCTAATGTGGCCCCTAACGTGGCGAGGCCCCAACGTGGCTTAATTTGATTTTCGCCCTTAGTCCCTTGCTAGAGAATTTTTGTTCTGAACTTTCACAGTTGACCTGGGACCAAGTTGACTTGGGACCGAATTGACCTGGGACCGAGTTGACCTCGGACGGAGTTGACTCAGACTAAGTTGACTCGGACTAAGTTGTTTTGGGACCGAGTTGACTTGAAACCGTCTGTGAAGTTACATGCCTATCAATTGTTTCTCTCACCCCCTTCCCTTTATAATGGATGACTTGTGCTTGACTTGATTACAACTTTTCATTGGTGCACAGCTTGAGGAAACCCAAGGCCGAACCTCGGACAGACAGTCACACTGTATCCAGTGCCTACATCAGCCCAGAGTGTCGATCCAAGATGCAGTCTGGTAAGCCATGCATGCAGACCTCACTATTCTGTAACTTTCTGGAAATTTGATAAGTTGCAGGAATTTAATTTGATCCCATGACTGTTGCCATTTTATAATGTGTCCAATAATAGCTGGCATGTCACTGCAGCTTTCTGTTATGATAACCTTAATTTTACAGTCAAATTGAAATATTTTAACACATCACTATCGAATATGATAATTTTGTGGGACCATGAAATGACAGATCGTCTTTGGATATTGTACACACGATAAGTCACTTTATGGTGTGACAACTATCATTGGTATACCTCTGTCTTGAATACTGTATTTTCCAGTGTTGGAGCAAAGGCTTTGACCCTCAAGGCCAAGGCCAAGGCCAAGGCTTTGACCCTCAAGGCCAAGGCCAAGGCTTTGACCCTCAAGCCTCGAGGCCAAGGCCAAGGCTTAACCCTCAAGGCCAAGGCCAAGGCCAAGGCCAAGGCCCTGTTTTATGAAATGACCACTGATACAGAACTAATTATAGTCACATGAGTGACACATCATCACGCAAGGGCGGATCCAGAACACAATTGGGGGGGGGGGCAGAGAAATTTTGGTCCCCCCAAAAAAGTGGGTCAAAAAATTACGGCTTGGGCTTCAGGGCCCGCTTAAGGGCCCCGAAAAAATTTTGGATTCGAGATGCTCAGTGGTGCGATTTGAGGCAATTTCTGACCATTTTAACCGATGTTTTTTTAGGAAAAGATGGTGGTGTACTCATTGCCTGCCTTTATTACGACGTCACATAAAAAAAAATGGTTTTTTTGGGGGGGGGGGGCATGGCCCCTTTTGGCTCCCCTGGATCCGCCCTTATCATCACGAATTGCTCGTTTCGAAGAACAACATTTCTTTAATTGCAATCAACATGCTCGCATAGGCCTACACCGTTTTATGACTGCACTGTATCTATTAAAGTATAAGTTCAGGTCTTCAATATGGTTTAACTAAACAATGTAATGATTTACTTCTATATTGACATACAATTCTCCCTCCTCCATGGTAATACGATTAAAATGGTAACAGCAAAATTTCGAACAGATTTATCCGGAAAATGCAAAAATCTATGGGCCTTGAAGAGCCTTGACTCAAAATTGCAAGGCCCTGAACCCTCAAGGCCAAGGCCAAGGCTTTTGCCCTCAAGCCTCGAGGCCAAGGCCAAGGCCCTAAAATCAAGCCTTAAGGCAGCCTTAAGGCCAAGGCCCAGCATCAAGGCACTACATCACTGGTATTTTCATTGGAAAGTGCTTAGTTTATAAAAAGTCATAGGACTCTCCCTGTGGTACGTGATATCCCACAGGGAGTGTGCTATGACTTTGTGCGTACGGTACGTACGCGTATGCGTACGTACGCATTTGCGTACGTACGCGTTTCACATGTAAAACGCAGCAAACTTGAAGATGCAGACTATCAGCTGTTTGGAGCACGCGACGTGTGTGAGTTGACGTCGTGTCATGATAGTTGTGTTTGCTGCTGTTTGTTTTCGTGATTTTAGTTACATCAAAATCCAAAAAATCCAAGACATATGTATAACAAAACAATTGTTGACTGGTGTGATGTGGGATATGACGTTTTGAACACCCAAACAATTGTCACTTTGTAGCATGAAGGAGGATATGTACGTCCAATCAGACCACAGAGGAGAAATATAAAAGTTCACTTGATAGAAGTTTTAATTTCTACTTTTAACTCTTTGAATATGGTGAGTTGATATCCTGGCTGAAAATAGCAGCTGATGAGACCAGAAACTGATTATTTGACCTATTTTTTTTAACCACCATTGCAGGGCGGCATAGACATAACAACTCTCTTAGCGAATCAGAGACTGAGATAATATGGGATGGCAACTCACCCACAGCCCATTTACAGCGGCGAATCGGTAAGAAAGTTGGGCGTTACACTTAAGACTACAGGGGAGGACAAAGAAATATAGGTCAATACGATGGTTAGGATGGTGTCGATGGTAAAGAATGTGCATGTAAGGATGGTGTTAAAAATACAGATAGAGTAGTATCATAGTGATTGTTATGTACATGGTGATGGTGAAGGTTACGACAATAGTGGTTATGATGAATACGGGTCTTTCTGTAAATTTAGGGTCCACTTTTTTTGCCGTCCCTGTTACATCGGACATCTATACTGTTATAATTCTAGAAGCACTCCTTAACGCAGTCATCCTGCAAGAATGATTATGAATAGCAAACTACCTGCCCAACAAATCTTCTTAAAAGTCATTCTTAGTGATACTAGATGGCAAAGTACCAAGGTAACAGGGACTGAAAAAATGCGACACTTTGGACCCTAAATTTAAAGAATGACCCAGGTGGGGAAGGTGTTGACCATGGTGTCTGTGATGAACGTTGTGAAAGTAGTGGTCTGCTAACTGCCTCAATCTTAGATATCAAGGCAAAATACCATTCAGCATCATTTCACTGTTATTTATGGCCTCCCAGAGTGTCAAGTTCATTTCAGTTTAACATTATTATTATTATTATTATTATTATTATTATTTATTCGGCCAACAAATGAACAAAAGTACAATGACAAAGCAAAGATATATCAAAATGTTAACAAAATTGGAAATTGAAAAAGTATGACCAGACAAGACTGAAGGATGCGAGAAGGAATGGGTCGAGGGGGAGGGAAGGGCGGGTGGACAGTTTGACAGGGGAGAGGAGATAGAGGGACAGAAAGCAAGGACAATATAACATTCCAAACCGGCCAGGGTAAAAAAAGTGTACTTAAACACTGTAGCCCTAAGGCCTGCCTACCCATGCTCGAAATGTCTTCACAAAAAATGCTAACTTCAATACTGCATCTCACGCCTGCACTTTTTTTCTAAGCCTGGGCCAGTCAAACAATAGAATTGTCATGGTTGTTTTGCAATCAACAAAATGTCAGAATCTGTGTGGCCATTACAGGAGTGGACCCGAGGGGGGGGGGGAGGGGGGGGGAAAATCAAGGGGTTTCTGATGCAACCCCTCCTCAAACAGCCTCATTAAATGTGGTAATATTTCTCATGGAATTTGGGGAAAAAATTTAATAAAGTGCTGGGAACCCAGAGTAGGCAACCATAGTTGAAATTGTATTGATGGTGACAGTGATGGTTGTGTTATTGAACGATTACAAGATAGTATGTTTCTGATTGCTTTGATGTGAAATAAGCAATGATAATCACTCTTTTTTGCTGTTTACAGGTCGCCATGGGCGCAGTAAGGCAGGCGATATTTCCGAGATCGTTCAGTGTGTCAACAACCAGGCCGGGAGCACTGTGAGTTATCTCAACCTTAAAACCTCCTAGATTTTCTAATATGTACCTTGAGGTTTTGGAAGATTTTTGCAGGATTAGGGAAGGTAGAGCCAACTGTTAACTGTTTAGCAGCACTATGCAATTTTGCTAAGGTCCCAGATTCATGTTGTTGATCGCACAATGCAGGCCTAACAGCAATTGCTGAGTTAGTTATCTGGGCCCAATTTCTTGGCTCTGCTAATCACTGAATTCTGCGCTTATGACTACAAATTTTGTGCTTACCATGCTAGCAGAAAAATTCTGTGCTAACCAGTTAGCACACTCCTTAGTTACGGAATATACGCTTGCGCAGAAGCAAAAATTCCTTGCTAACGCATAAAGAAGGCTTACCGTAAGCACAGAATTTTCTGCTGAAGTAAGCAGGGATTTGTTGGTAACGGTAAGCAGAGCCCAGAAATTTGGCCCCGATAATGTGTCAGAATCATTTGGCTATGGCTGGAAATTACACACGCGGCTATGGGAGCAGCCACAGCCACTTCCCACAAGCCTGTGTGTTATTGCAGCTGTAGCCATGTAATGCGGATGCAGTCTTACACACCTCTCTGTTATCACCTTGTCTTCTCTTCAGGATAATAGCTCAGCAGACATGCCCCTCCTGGGTCTGTGGATGACGCGTAGCCCTAACCATCCAGCGGTAGACCTTGGTGTTGTCAGAAAGACACTAGCGCACTCTGAACAAGAAAGGTATACACAGGATCCAAAACATGTTGTAGTCAAATCCATTACTGAGTCTGCAAGTAGATAGAAATATCAAACTTGTACGTATGTAGCAAGAATCAACTGACAGGACAATGTTCATTTTTGTATTGTTTCTTGGGTATTGTAATTTCATTGGTCTAAAACGGCTACATGTCATGTCTATAAACATGACTGTTTACTTCATAAACACTGCGCTGCATATACATTATCTCATATACACCTTGTCGCATATATTATCTCATATACACTGCGCTGCATACATTGGGTGGGCCGTCACTGCGTTATGGCATGTATGGGGAAGTTTTTTATTGTTAGGGAAATTAGGACCGAGTTATGGGAACTTTCTGCTGTCCCCACAGTGTCTTCGGTCCCTATAATACCATGGGACAGCACATGTGAATTCCCCACAGTAACGGAACAAGAATGTATGGATGTGTTCATCTATTCAAACTGTGGACGAAAAATTCCAGAGAAGAAAAGAGAACAATATCGTCCACGATTCCCAGCATACGTCTGCGATTGGGGTCGTGTACAAAACCTATGGGAGTTTTCCTAAAAAGTTAAAAACACAAACATAAGAGGGACAATAGGACGTCTACGATCGACGGTGTTAACACATTTACATGTGCGTGCGTGAAAAGTCCGTGTGTAGGGCCCATGCACCTCGCAACAGAGAACTGCAACCTCTCGGTCTCATGTCTGGCAGGAAAGCTCACAGTAGTCACAAGGTTACACTACTGTGATTTATGTCTTGAATATTAAGTTAACACCTTTATCTGTTTGACTTATTTTCATGATATAACAAAACAATTGTTGACTGCTGTGATGTTGGATACGGTGTTTTTAACCCCCACAAGGCACATTGCAATGAGTCGATTTTACCTTTCTTCCGATATTTAATATTTCAGCTCCAAACCCAAGTCAACTCACAGGAAGACGACAGGCAGACTGTCCCTCCTGCAGGCTGAGCTGGAGAAAATAGCCAACGCCATCAACAACAGGTCAGGCTCATTCAGGTGTTCCTTCTTGATGTCTCTGATTTGTGTACTGGTCTGAGTTGTATTTCATTGAAATAGCTCTTGACTTGACTTGACTTGGCTAATGATGCGTGATTGGCATGTGGTTGAGTCGTGAAGAGTCAACTAAAATTCTGCCGGTTTTGGAAAATCTGCTTTAAACCAGAAATGTTATTGACATATAACTTGACCAGAAAGTCAAAGTGGAAATAGTCAAAAGATCACAGTCTCTGCTTCTTTAACCCTGACTCCCTAGCATAATTTGCTAGGAACCGTACCCATCCAGGCAAATTTCAACACCGACATGGGAAATTGTACACACACACTGTTGGACTTTGTTTCTGGAGGTATGCCAAACCCAATGTAAAAGACCATCAGTTTAGGGGTACTGTACCTATCCCAACAAATTTCAACAAAACCTGCTGTTGGGCTTGGATGGGTCGAGTTCTGTTAGGGTTACTTTCATCTGAAAAAATGGAATTCAAAATTCAATTTTGGAAGTTTGTACCGTATATATGGTTAGAGGTATTTAAAAAGTCAATTTATTTTGATAGCATAAACTTTCAAGGTAATTCCTGCTTTAACATGAATGTCTGCATGTTGCATTGATTTTTCAGTGTTTCCATGGATGTCACAGGAGTTCAAAATGAGGAGCAGAATATATCAGAAACTGATGGAAACCAGAAACAGTTGTGTATGGTTCAACAACTCCAACACCAAGAAACTGTGTGTGGTGACAAACAACTCCCAGAAGAAGTACTAGTGACAGGACAAGTTGTTGGAGTTAAAACAGTGACAAAGAAAGACCAACAAGTTTCACGTTGCCAAGCAAGCACAAGGCCGTTGGTCACTGGGAAGACCAGCACTGGCAGATTGCCCACATCTCAGCCCAAGACCGGTCACTTTGGCCGCGGTCAGTCAGATTCTAGTCGACGGGTGAGGTCTCAGCCCTCCACTGGTCATTCAGTCACTGGTCAGTCAAATGGTAGCCGTTTGGTTGCTGGTCAGTCCACCTCTCAAACTGGTCAGTCAGCAACGGGTCAGCCAAAATCAAGCTGCTCCATTGCTGGTCAGTCAAACAGTGGTCCATTGGCCGCTTATCAGTCCATCAGTGACAAGTCAAAATCAAGCCTTTTGGCCACTGGTCATCGTAACGCACAGCCCAACAGTGGTCACTCAGTCACTGGTAAATCATTTGTAGGTTGTTTGGCCATTGGTCAGTCTAGTACTGGCCAGTCATCTACTTCTCAGTCCACAATTGGTCAGTCAGTCAATAGTAAGACAAATGCTGCCCATTTGGTCACTAGTAAGTCAGCTACTTATAAATCACCTACTCCATCCATCAATGGTCAGTTGGTCAATATTAAGTCAAATGCTGCCCACTTGGTCTCTGGTCAGTCCAGTATCGGTCAGTTGTCCACTTCTCAATCTACCATTGGTCGGTCAGTCCAAAGTAAGCCAAATGCTGGCCCTTTGGCCACTGTTCATTCTAGTACTGTCCAATCTTCTACTTCTCAGTCCACCACTGGTCAGTCGGTCAATCAGTTGAATTCTGGCCGTTTGGGTACTGGTCAGTCCAACATAGGCCAATCATCTACATCTCAGTCCTTCACTGGTCACTCAGTAAGAACTAAGTCAAATGCTGGCCATGCGGTCACTTGTCAGGCAAGTTTTGGTCCATCATCCACCTCTCAGTCCACTAATGGTCAGTCAGTCCACGGTAAGTCAACTTCTGGCCGTTTGGTCACTGGTCATTCCAGTACTGGCCAAATGTCAACTCCTCATCCCAACGCTGGTCGGTCAGTCAGTAGTAAGTCAAGTTTTGGCCATTCGATTGGTCTTTGCAGTACTGGCCAAACAACCACCTCCCAGCCAACCAGAACTAAAGCAGTCACCAGTCAGTCAACTTCAGGCCGTTTAGTTTCTGTTCAGTCCATAAATGGCCAATTGTCCACCACTCAATCAACCAATGGTCAGTCGGTCACTGGTAGGTCAAATGTAGGCCATTCTGTTGCTGGTCAGCCCAACACTGGCCACTTGTCCAACTCTCATTCCCACACCAGCCAGTCAAACATGGGCCATTCCACTGCTGGTCAGTCCAAAGTCGGCCAATCGTTCGTGTTCAAGTCCAAAACTGGCCAGTCAGTCCCCAGTCAGTCTGTTGTTTCCCACTGCGCGATCAACAACCAGTCCAACATTAGCCACACGACCAAAAACCACATTTCCCATCACCAGTCCGACTCCAGCACCTCAACGAATCATCAGTCGGCTTTGAGTAAGACCATCACCAACCAGGCATCGACTGACAACGATAGTCTGTGGGACGACTGTGAAGATTTGGACGACGAACTTCTGCTGGCGCAGCTGTCCCAAGCAGAAGCAATGGAGACTTGTCATGCGGCAACCAAACAGAAATCTCCAAATGGATCTGTCCAAACTAACCTCCCGGTCGCCAGCAGCAACTTCCAGAAAGACACCAGCAATCAGGCCAAAGCAGCTAGTGTCGCAAGGCCAGTAATAGATTTATCCTCAAACTGTGCCCCTAAAGGAGCAAACTTTAGCTCTCTAGTGGATCACCAAACTTCAAAGGAGTCTCTCGGAACCAACGTACCTGTCACTAGCAGCATCCAAACCAACAAATTCAACTTCAAGAGAGAAGCCGGCAATCAGAACAAGCCAGTGACTAATGTCCCAAGACCAGTTACAAATACCATCGGTTTGTCCTCAAACTGTGTCTCAGTAAAGGCAAACATCGGGCATCCAATGGATCACCAGTCTTCAAACGAATCTTTCCAACCTAACAAACCTGTCACTAGCAGCATCCCAACCAACAAATTCAACTTTCAGAGAGGAACCAGCAATCAGAACAAGCAAGTGACTAGTGTCACAAAGCCGGCTAGAAATTCCATCGGTTCGTCTTCAAACTGTGTCTCAATAAAGGCAAACGTCGGGCGTCAAATGGATCACCAGCCTCCAAAAGAATCTTTCCAACCTAACAAGCCTGTCACTAGCAGCATCCCAACCAACAAATTCAATTTTCGAAGAGACACCAGTCATCAGGCCAAAGGTCATAGCATCACAAACCTTGTAACAAATACTGTGAGCTCAACCACAAACGGTGCCTCAAAAATGACAACCGTTGGACCTCAAATGGTTCAAGAGCCAGAACTTGACCCATTTGACAGTAGCTTGACAGACGACATGTTGATATCACTGTGTGCGGGATTGGACTCGCCCCACAGACAACCATCTACTGTCTCTGACTCCAAACCTGTAAACTCTACAACGAGAACCTCTGCAACATCTGTAAACATGCACCAACAGAATTCTACATGGCAACAAACTACATCAGGAGCTAGACAATCAGTATCTCATAAACCAGCACCTTCATCATCTGTGGCACACCCGAGGCCTCCTATATCTACTCAAACAGGCAAGTGGAAATTAAACCTGTCAAAAAATATACCGTTTCTGTGAAACAAGTTTTGGCTTGGCTTCAAAAAAAGGTCTTACTCTTATATACTTTAAATGTAACTTTGAATACACACAGACTGTACAGACATTTAATTGTAAAACGGCCTGCCATAGTTGGACAGTGGATATGTTGAGTTTCAAAGGAAAGATTGCAGACATCAAAAAAACGAAATGATTAAATTATCAGTCACTGGATTGTTAGGGAACGCACCCTGTAAAATCGTGGCTCCTGGTGTGCTGACATTTTCAAGAAAAGTGGTATTTTTCCAACGCTGGTCGGTTGACCAGCGTTGGAGAAAACTGTCTTTTTTCAAAAACTGCTCTTAATTTTTCTTAATTAGTTTGTCCGCATTTTCTATGCAATTGATTACACACCTGTGAAGGGGTACAAGCCTGCTAGACTGATTCTCTTACCTTACAATTTCTCTAAAGTTGACAAACTGCTCCGTTTCACAAGTTAAGTGGGGTCAGGGAGCCAGACTGCAAGAACGTGATGTTTGTCTTGGTTTTTCCAGCATCTTCAAGCCCAAAACGTGAAACAAATCAGTTTAACAATATTTGCTATAACATTCTACTCCCCCAAATCAATTTACTACTGAAAATTGCAGCAAGAGCAAATGTTGTACATTCCCTTTAAGTAACGAGATAAACAGATAATGATGATAGTTCTACATTTCTTGTTTCCATGAGGCTTGCACTGACGTTTCATAGAAGCACAAAAAAGGAAAAAGAAATTTCAACTTGGATCAATTTAGAAATTAATATTCTGATAACAGTGAACAATTTCTGGTAGGGTTACTAAATCTCAGTGACTGATCTTTAATCTAGAGTGAGTTGGGTTACATTTAAGTGATGGGTCATTCCATAAATGTGGGGTCCAAAAGTGTGTTATTTTTTGTGTCCCTGTTACACCTGACCTGTGTAATTTGCCATGCAAGTATCATTAAAATTGACTTCAAATTATTTTTGGTTTGATTGGTCTTTTGCTTTACATAATCGCTCCTGGAGATAGGAGGCAGCCAGTATGTGTCCTGAATTACAAAATCTTATATTAGATGGAACAGAGACACTCACACACAAAATTGGACTCCAACTTTACTTAATGACCTGGTACCCTTTATGGAATCACCCAATACATTTTACTTGTCTTTCTTTCTCGCTTTTACAGCCAGTAGTCAGAATGTCTGCAGCCTGTCAGAAATCGAAAAGAAACGCCAGCAGGCCATGGCCCGACGAAAGAAACACGGAAACGGCGGCCAAGCGACTGCAATCCTCACGGGAGCCATGGCAACACAAAGTATGCTGCCCCCAAGGTGATGCGATATTAGGGGTGTATGTGGTCAGAGTATCAACTGTAGAGGGCGGTGTGGGACTGACTCATGAGAGTCAAGGGGGGGGGGGGCGCTGTCTTGTCACTGATAGGACGTGTGAGCCTGTTGCCTATGTCAGAGTCGAGCCATGTGTGTAAAAGTGTTTTAATGGTGCGCATAACTCGTGCCAAATTCACTGGGCACAGATTACAAGTTGAACAGCCAAGGGTTCATTCCAGTCGCGCGAACGTGTTTACGTTCATTAGCTTGGCCCTGTGAGCGTGGCAGCCCTCGAGTGGAACGGTAATGTCATTGAATAAGTGTTTGTCAAAATGGCGGCGCCCCCTATACCAATCCTGATAGTATTATACATCGTTTTCGAAACGACTGGCTTTGTCTTTGACTTCAGCTTAAGGAGATTTTAGGCCCCCAACTTCTGGAACTCCAGCTACATTTTGGTGCCTGTTATGCTTCAGGAACATTCAATCAGTTGATATGCCAAAAGTTGAAATATTTTTGTTTAGTTTGCCTCTAAGTGATTCAGAAGTCGAAGGCAAAGCTGAAGACGAAGCAAAGGTTTCAAAAAAACCCATAGACTTTATGCATGGGTCTGCCATTTTAAATTGAAAGCGAGGTAACTTCTTCATTTGTGGAACTTGCGAGTAGAAATGAAAGCAATGAAATAAAAGTTCATTACAAATTAATACCAGTCTGCTCTGATGAATAATTTAAAATTTGTGATGAAACATACCAAAATGTTTAAGCCACATTAAAACAAAACTTGAGAGCACTCCAATCATAAAATAGTCTGGCACCAACCCTCTCAGTAGTTTACAATTTGTGAAATAGATTCAGGGAACACGGTCGAAGATTTAGATTTTATAATCTATAAACTTACTTGGGAAGAAATTCTCAGCCTGGACAAAAATTATTCCATTCATTGTGCGTATTGGCCATTTTAGGAAACATAGCTAACAACTCGGGAAGACTGTTCGCCTTTGTTTCTAATGCTCACCAATGTTGGTGGCAAATAGTTGGCTCCACTTGCGCAAACACTGGCAGACGTTAGCATTGTTTTCATAAGTGGAACACACCCCAGGATATAGACGTCATGTGTAGAATGGTGTCGTAGTTTCTCCTGCCTGAAACACCGAATGGTGAACTTGCACTGGAAGTGATATTATTGTGACCAGAATGCATACATCCAAAGCCAATAAAATGGGTGCATGGACTCTGATTGTTTTTGTTTTTTGTTGAGTTATAAAATCGGGTCATCACAATGCAGTCATGAGTCACCTAGTCTCAAGTAAAGCAACAAGCTATCGGGATGATCTGTGATTCCTTTGTCATTGTTCCTAGCAGGGTACCTGTGACCTCATTTGTGACCTCATATGACCTCATTTGTGTCCTCATTTGTGATAGCCTTGATTAACAGTAAGTTGGCGCGGACATCCTGGAACTTCTGAAATATCCTTATCTCATAAAAGACCCATTTTCATGAAACTCAATGGTTCTTGAGTCTGGAGTGCTGAATGGTAACACAAAGCAACAGGTGAAAACACAGATGTTTTCATCAACTCAACTGACCATGACGTAAATGCCGCACCATCCTATAGTATTAGTAACCATGTATATAATGTGAAATGTATTGTTTTGAAGAAACATGCAATATATGTATATCTAGACAGTGCCAAGGCAATGGCACGTAAATTCAGTGGTTGCTATTCTTAAAAAAAAAAAGTTCCTAAGACCAGTGAGGAAACTGTTAATTCAGCAGTGTTTCACAAGACATAATTTCACTAGATTTGTGAAAGTAAACTACCTTAAATTTAAAAAAAAATTTCGTTGATTTGTGTTCAAGCATTTTATTTTTTTTTAGAAATGGGCACAGTATTATTAAGTTCGAAGTTCAGTTCAAGTGATATTTCAATATTAATTTATTGATTATCGAAGTTTGTATATCCAGTGATAAACTAGAAAGTGGCATCTCACTACCAAAACAACCACTAAAATAATTGTCACATCTTCGATATAGTTACTTATACTTTAAATGATTATTTTTGCAGCATTTTAAAGCTAATTAATATGAAAAAAATGTTTCGAAAGCTGCAAATTACATTATTGCTTTTGAAAATAAACAAAAAAAACCCCAGTCTTCAACACATTTTAACCGATTTCAAATGTTGAGTTTGAAGATACGCATGATCAGTGTTGAAAAATTCCAACCAAATTATGTACAGAGGAAATCAATCTTTAACAGCTTTAATAAATGAGAAGTTATCAGTAAAATGATTTGACTGCACTGTGATTATTACCGTGTATTCTGGTGATGAGACCAAGGAATCCTAAAAAAATAGTTTGTTTGGACTGCAATGCCCAGAGAATTCGCATCAGATAACGGGAGAAAAACAAATTAAAGAAGAGAAGTAAAAAATGCTGAATGCTGCATGCACACCTCTGAGTAAGATTCGAACCCGGGCCCACAAAAGGCAAGTCAGGTTGTGTAACCATGTAGGTTTGAGCAGGAATTATGGTTGACCATAATACGTCAGTGAAGGGCAAAACCCAATATTGAATTTACATCGCTCTGACACAAAATTCCATCTTATGAATAGTTTGGTTGCGGTACCCGCTGCTACATCAGATTCGAACCATCCAGCCGACCCCAGCAAGCTCGGTGGTCAAGTGGTAAAATGTCTGGGCTAGAAAGCAGGATCCTGAAGATGCTTATTACTTACAGAAAGTTTATCTCCATTGGACAAAGCGCTTTGTAATGATCACTCATATTCCCTACTTCTGTTCATGAATGAATGCAAATATTTTCCTACAGGTAGGGCGTGGACATCCAGAATTTTTTTACATTGGCTTATCTAGCTCCCAGACCTATGTTCTTGAAACTCAATGGTTCTTGAGTCTGGAGTGCTGAATGGTAACACATAGCAACCGATGAAAACTGGTGTGCAAATAAATAGATGTTTTCTTTGGATGATGTCACTCGGCCACCATCTACCAACCAATCTAAGCCACTATCACTGTACATGCATGAAGGCCCCCTTCAATGGCGAAAGCATTGTCCCAGCTTTTGATCCTTGTTGATTTTTACAATGGATGGCACAGTAACTTTGCCACTGAAGGGGTCCTAGTGAATGTAAAGTGTAGTTCACATCAAAACGGTTGTGATAATGCTCACCTTTATTTGGTGTCAAACTCTCCACACGAAACAGTCTACAAATTTGTAAAGATTCGGCAATAATTTTTTGTTGTGATATTGGGGACAAAATGTACAGCCTAGGGGACTTTAATGGTGAACATTTGAGCACAGGCACACACACAAAAACACACAAGTTATTGGAAAAGTATACCATATATTTACTGATGATAAGTGATTAAGGACTCGAGTCCATTTTTTTTTACTCGTGACTCGGCTCGGACTCGTGGCCTTTTGGACTCGGCTTGGCTCGGACTCGGCTAGTGGCTGGCTCGGACTACCTGTTGGACTCAAATCGAGTCCACTTAATAAAAACTGTTTGAAAAAACCTTTAAATTGTTTTTAACGGTCCTGCATCTGTTGTCTGGTTACGTTTAACTCTTGCCAGGGACAATTTCTTTTAGATGCCTAAATAGGCGGTAGAATACTCGCAAGAGACCGATTGGACAGTCACTGTATTCTCAGTGTACTTGTGTACAGGCAATGCAGTCACTGGGTGGACCTCTGAACAAAAGATGTTCACACAGTGCAGGTACTGGTAGTGAAGACGTTGTGTGGACTTGCCCACGTCCACACAAGGTTTCCCCCTCTCTGAAAAACACTTTTAGAGGCATTTTTTGTCGCAAAATGAAGAGGAACAACTCGAGGAAATCATGATCAAAAGCTTGGGTTGAAAGAGTGTTAACAGTGCGAGTAAAATGATTTGTTTCTCAAATTTTTCTTGACACGAAAACATACAGACTGGAATCTGTATCCTTGTGGAGTCATTTCTTTGTTCTCGTGTACTAAAGTTTTCGAGTTTGAAAGTGTAGTTTCAAAATGCTCCTACGTGTAGTTCAACCAGAATTAATTTCCTGGGCTGAAATTCGGACTTAATATCACTTACATAAAATACTTCAATTTGCGACTGATTAACACACCTTGGAAATTCCTAGTTTTTGAGTAAAATCCATATATCTATTTCGTTATAACCTTGTGGAGACGTATTCATCTAAAGAAATTGCCCTGTGGAGACGTACTCAGTCTTTTGTTCCCTATTATACCCATGTCTCCTTTCACGACTGACTTAGTCTAGGCTCAGACTTCACAACTTGGACTCTGACTTGGCTCGAGTTAGCTCGGTTCAGACGAGGTGGACTCGACTACATCATTGCTGATGTTCCTTCCCTGAACTTGATGATGACCTCCTCCTTACAGAAAGAGTGATGGATTCATCGACATGGCACAAATACATTCCAGAGAGGCACGAAGGTTTCTGTTAAATAACAGTTTATTGTATATCACTGGTAAGAGTTACAGCTTGTCAGCTTCTATACACTAGCATCCAAAGCTATAACACATGACAAAAAAGTGACAAAAGAAGCCAGAGAAAACAACAAAACACAAAAATAAAATACAAGCAGAAGTATACATGCTACATGTAGCTTTAAGAAAAAAAAACACTTCAGAAAAGTTTTGGCGGGGCAAAACAAAAAAATAAATAAATGAACAAATTTAAAAACGAGTGGCAAAAAAGTGTTACATTAGAATAACTAACAATGTACATATCTTTCTACAAGACAGAACAGGAAAAACACCACAGATTAAATCACTCTAAATCCAAACAACTTCAGTTAAACGACCTTTTTTTTTTCAGTTCAAATACAACTGAAAATTACATTCTTTTAAAATTTGTTTAAATAAGGAAAGTTTTCACAAATGTTTAGAAATTAAGTTCCTGTGTTACACGTACTTAAGTAATCACTATATAAGAGGATGTTCTACATGTTAAACATTCTGGCAGCAGGGGGTGATATGAAATAATGAAAATACAGGGTTATTTTTGAAATGTTTGAGATGTTTTTGGCAAATCAGTTATTTTGGCTTGGTCTGGGAAACAACTTCTCTGATATAATTGAAAGCTATAAAGCAGCACTGGAGTGCATCCAAACCCCCCCCCCCCCAAAAAAAAATTCTTAAAATTCATTAAATTTCAAAATGACATTAAACCAGATGAGAATCTAAGCAAAGTGAAAAGTTGTATAACTTGAACCCAAAAGGGTAAGCTTTTTACATTAAGGGGCAGACCCACCCCTCCCCCTTTCCTTCAATCTCAGCATCCAGCTATGTTCATCTGCAAAGCTTTTGCAATAACTGTTAACATTTGATTTGTGTGCATTTCATACATTTGACCACATTTGACCCAGCTTCCGTGGTCACCTGACCAAAAGTTGTGATCTCATTGGTCAATGCAAACTGTCTGACTGACAGGAAGGGTCCATTTTAGAAAGGTGGTGTCAAAAAATGCCCTAGAGATCAATAATATCAACAGAAAAAAAACAACCCAAAACAAAAAAGAAATCATTAGGGTTTTGAATTAACAAGAACTGCTGATGAAAGTAGAGGGGGAAAAAAATGCAAGTTAGTGGATTCTGTCCCTAACCAAACCTGGCTCTTTTCAGGTTTAAATAAAAAATAAATAAAAAAACCTTCATCAATCCATGAAGAATTACAATGTATTTCATCACTTCATGGATCCTGATGATATAAGTATAAGAGGTAGAAACACACAACTGCTTGTTCACACCCTAAAAACAAATCTCACCAACTTTTAATAAAAACCAATATCTGTCCAATTAAGAAAGCAAAACTTAAGGATTCTGCTAGAATTCCATTCAATTAAACTCTTGGGGTATTGTGTACTTTTCCGTTTTTTATCATATTTTTTAAACTATGATACTGTGGTTTTTTTTTTAACTTCAAAATTGCTGATATTTTATTAATAAATGTGCACAAACTCTTTTGATAACATACTGAAAACACTCTGCAATCGTAAAAAAAAAAATTGAATACATATGTAGCATTTACCATTGTAAACTTCTTCAGATTTTCTGATACAGCATTCCACTTTTCCCGCCTTTCTTTGCCTAATTTTACAATTATCTGCGTAAAATGGGAAAAATCCCATTGAATACGACAATTAGATTCTATATCAATACACACCAAAGCAACCTGATAATGCATCGCTCAGTGCATTCGCCTCTAACAGTTCCAGATTCATACTTTACCCTACAAACAGAAGTATTCCCTAACCCCAGGCCATTTTCTCAAAACACGATCAGAAATTCTTATAATTGGGCATTTTTTTCACAGACTGATTAATGCTATTAACCTATCGCGGTAGAATCGCGTCAACGCAGCTTGTGGAATATTGCCCAATTACATGATATACAAATGGATGCGGAATGCGCACAATCTGAGACAAACAAAACTTAACTTACAAAATTCCATAGGGTTGTCTAAAGGGGCGTGGTTAAGGTCAATTGGACTTGAGAAATGCATGTGCCAAACTGCTAATGAGCTCCGTGCATAAGTACCCCCTCAACGGTAAAAAAGGGAGAGTTTGGGGAGACCACTGGGAGAGACATTCAAACACATTGCCCACAACGCATAACACTCATGCAAAGACCAATAGCTTTGTTCACATTCAGAATGAAATAAGTCGTACGCACTTCACGCCATGTGTGCGAGAAACCAGTACATGCACTTGGTGTGTGTCATCTACATGTACTGGACTCTCGAAAGTGGTCTAGAAGCGCCCTCTCTTGTTCGCACATGGAGCCAATCAGGACGAGTTCAGGTAATTTATGTCAAAATTCACTTCTTCAAACCCTACCCTCACAAAGGGTAGGGTGAATGACACAAAGCACATCAACACATTTCATTCACTCATTCCTCTGAAGTTAAGACTTCACAAAGTGCACTTACAACTCAGTAACCAACCCAGTGTCCGATACTCTGTAACTTGTTTGATTTGGCATTTTCTGGAGTTTTTTGGCAACCGTAACAGCAGAAACAAATCACTTTCCTAACTTAGCCACGCATGAACCAGAGGAAAGCAACCTGGCCCCAATTTCGTGTCTATGCCTACGACAGAATTCTCCACCTTTTGATGACCATCTCGTTCTTACACCCTACCACAGAAATTCTGTACTAACCCTGTAGGCAAAGATTGCTTACTTATGCAATGTATGCATATGCATACACCGAAATTCCTTGTTAACCATTCAAAATGTGCTAACCAATAGCGCAGAATTTTCCAGTGCGGTTAGCAAAAATGCTCTGCTTAAGGTAAGCAGTCGTAAAATTTTAGAGTCTTGTCTCGACAGATAATGCAGAGATGAGATGTAATTTTAAAATTGATGCCCACTGATGCAGCGACATAATGACATAACAGACTTTATGTCACTGTATTTCCCAGGAATATGTTGGAAATGGGGACCTAAAAAATAAATATGAACACAATTCTATCATTGTAATTTTGTTCTAATTTGATAAATTTTGATGAGTAGTTGCCTAGGAATACCGAAGTTGGTGATCAAGTCCGACAAGAACAGAATCTGAGAAATCATGAGAAAGGGCAAGAACAGCTGTCCACACTTATATGTCCAAATATTGGGGTCAACTACAACCCTAATGTCGATATATATTATAACGAAACAATCTACTTTAAAAAAATGCTGTGTCCTTTTTTTTATCCATACACTGGATATTAATAACAAATAATTTTTTCTTGTTTTTTTTTTCGTTATTTTTTTTAAATACACACTCATACAAATGGACTATGTATGTACACCAAAATAAAACCCTTTTAAGTTCTACAAGCACCAAAAACTTTGGTTACCGTTGCTAAAAAATAATTCGATGGAAAACTGAACACGTACTTTTAAAATGCTGATGACATTTTGGCCTTTTGTGATCGATGCGTCGACTGTATGCCAGAAAATATATTGCACTCTCAAACGCACAAACCGTCAACAATAACGTTTGCACATTTAAGACAGATTAATAATACCTAAAGACTGAATTTCCTTGTTGGACTAAAATTTTTCATGATGAATATTGTTGCTTGAAGTGAATTTCAAAATCACAAACGGGATAAGTCATTAAGAAATGTTAAATAAAACAAATTTATGCGAAAACAGGTGGGCAGCATACGTTTAAAAGTTACACAAACTAAGTTTACAGACCGTGTTAATTACAAGATGCACTAAGATCCTTAATTAATTAACACAGATTTTCAACTCTGTACAATGTTAAGTTATACCTTTTTTTTTGTCTTTCCAAGACAAAACCAATAAAATAACGACACGAAAATGGCACAAAAACACTTCAGTACGTACAAGATAAAACACAAGATCTATGAGTCTAAATCTTAATATCACCCCAACGAGCACTCTTAGAATAAAAAAAAGAAAGTGAAGAATGCATATTTACACAAAAGATGGGCCATATAACCGAGATATCCACACTACATCCAATTTGATTCGCAAATGTTAAAATGCGGATTTCTTCTATTTTAACAAATTTAAAATTTGCTGTAAGTCAAATGTTAATAAAAGTGGAAAAGTGGTTGGTGAGAACAATGTTCTGTAGTGCTCCGAGATCGATGTCTGAATCAGGCATTTTGGGTTTAAAGGTAGAGTAGATCATTTGCAGCTATCCAAAAAGTTACTGACAAAATTATTGTTGAAAAGCTTACTTGGTTTAAAGATAGTAATGACACTAAACTCCCTGCAAAATAATTCTTTCTGACATGCTGTCGTTTTGAAGAAAACAATAAAAGAAGGCAATTTCCAAATATGTGCCAAGTGATGCATTTTTGGAAATTTCCGTTAGTAGTCGGTTTGTAAATTCGGCGAAGCCGTGAATGGGTGCGTGCAAGCGTTGACACGACGCACACGGTTGCTATTATTCCAGTGCGCGACATCCCGTAGCTGTAATCGGCTAAATGAGAACATGTCCCGGACGCTGATTTCGGGCGCAATTCAAAACAAGACTCGGCAACTTTCAAATTGAAACTGAGATCCTACAATATCGTTTTCTCAGAATATACAGCATTCACAGAGCTCAAACTTCATCAAGCTAGTTGTTAAGCACCCGTCTTTAGATTTTGAGCACTTTTGTTGCTTCAAACGAAGCAAATGCACAAAATGATCTACCTACCTATAAGGCTTCGGTTTTGCCTCTGGCATACTGCAGTCACTATCCAAACACTTAGTCTGAACAAAGCCATTTTTTCCGCAGAATTTTCGCAGTATTTTTGCATGGCAAGAACACTAGAGGGTAAAATGTTGCAGATGTGTAAATATCTTCCAAGAATTTATCATTTTTTTCTTGAGATTCAAAACTGTGCACGCAGGTGGGCTGTGAAACAATTGACTTAGTTCAAAGGTGCAAAGTACCGTGAGATACCACAAAGAAGTTCAAAAACAATTACAATAGATTCAAAAGTGATACATTTGACAATATAACTTGTCGGTGGCAACTGTTGTGATTTTTTTTCCAGAGAGTGAAATTTGTCACATTTAGAAACATGCACTAAGAATGCACATACTGTACAAAATTTGTTCCGAGACCCATGGTATATGGTCGGTGAATGTGTGAAATCCAAGCCCAATTTCACCTACTGTTTTTTGTGCATTTAAAAACTTTTTAAATTTTTGTTTTTACGCTGTGACGGAGTCGTTGTGGTTAAGGAGACTAGGCGAGGACTGGCCGACCGTGCCGTGCGATCCCCCGTGCCCCGATGCATGATGGGACATCATCATGGAGTGCGGGTGGCCGGCTAGCATCATGGCCTGGGAGTGCATGGAGGGGTGGAGCTGGGTGGAGTGTGAATAGGAGGAGGAGCCACCGGAGGCAGGGGGCATGCCCATGCCCGAGATGGCTCCTGATTGGCCAATCATGTCGTTGCCGAGCATGCCTTGACCCCCTGCAGAGTAAAAATACAAGAAGAAAAAAATGGCAAATTAATGTCCAATCTCAAAACACAAGATAAACACTACCAACTGTATACACCAATCATGGAGCCAGTGGACAATAAGCCCCGCCCACCTTTGCTTGACTGAACTACTGTGGTCACCTGACTAAAAATCATGATCTAATTGGTCAATGCATGCTGTTTGATTGATCGGTAGGATGGGTCCATTCACTGTACACTCACATAGCCCCACCCCTAAGTACTGTGCATAACACTTGTTTTGTTACAATGGACCGATCCATTTAGCCCCGCCCACAGCACACATGGGAAACAACACGTGTGCTTCTTCAATGCCATACTGCATGTTCAAGCTGCGTGCATCATAACTGTGCATGCATGTCGGACTTCTGTGCATGCATGTTAGACAAATATTATGGCTGTTATAGATCAAGGCGGAGCTGAGTGGATCGGTCTGTTATTGCAAACAATAGATGACATAGAGCTTTCTATCATTACCGGGGGGGGGGGGGGGAGCTCTGGGAATTTACAAGGATTTCATGTCCAAATTTGTTAATGTTTACTGGCTAAGATAATTTTTAAATAATATTTCTTTATTTTATATGAGAGATGTTATGGTAAACGATCATAAAATTCTTCATGACTTCTGGATGAGGCATACAATGTTACAGGGCATTTTTAGCATTTCGGTTCCGGAAAAGCACAAGGAATAAACACGGGAAGAGGGATCCTGATGGAGTCCACAGGAAAATAGCGATTCAATTCCAATCCAAAATTTCCCTCACAACAGAAAGCATTTTGTGTGCTTCTACCAACAAATTATTTGTTGTTACTTTTTTAAACCATTGTAGCTAATCCTGTGCCATGTTTTAAATGGCAATCACTGAATAGAGTGGTCTGTTAAAATCGTCCTTTACTGACTCACTGTACAAGCCTTGTAACAGACTAATTTAGCGAACAAAATTAAAAGCCATTTTTGTGGTGGAACCACCTTTGAGCGCACACTGCATGCTTTCTTGAAGACAAGGCGCGCACCCATTTTGGTAACCTATCGGTGTACTACCAGAGTGCAAATTCGCACAAGCCTGGTTCCACCTCAGAAAATGGTTGCCGCCGAATTAGTTTATGCTCAGTGCTCTCTAAGAAATTGTCCGGAAAAAGTCACATGATTGCTCAAGAAAGACCCACATATCCCACTTATTGAAAATCTCCCAGAACCCAAAAGTTTCATCAAGACAAAAAGTTGTCTTTACTCCAAACAGTGGCAAGTGCTGAAAAAGTTTAAACAACAACATTTTCAAATGAAATACAGAATTGTTTATCATACAAGTTGTAGAGAATGCACAACATTATGATGTATACATTGTGATACCATTTCCCCCGGTCAGCAAGCATAAAAACCTATCTTCATGGAAATTTACAATTATTATTACAATTGTACACATACATTTATGTATGCTAAACCAATCACACATGCAAGACAACACAATCAGGGTGCCCAACTACTTTGAAAATCAGGAAAAACCTTGAAAATGAGTTTCCATAATTCCACTTGGGGAAAACTCTGGGAAGTTGGGAAAAACGCAAAAACTCAGAGAAAAGTCAGGGAATTGACAGTGACCCAGAATAAAAAGATTTTGGCCAGTTTGGTATATGCGCGTCTTGTGCCATGTGTCCATGTTGGGTCCAGTGACAGACTGGCTATGGTGGCTTTTCAGTGTTTATGCAATGTGAATATCATCAGTATCTTAGTTGCTTTGCTGCTCTTGACTTCTCAGCAACCTCGTTAAAGTGAAAATATCTCTCACAGATTCTGAATATTTCTTATGGAAATATCAGGAAAAACTCAGGGAAGTCTGTTTTCATGAAATGTTGGGAATCCTGACAATACAACAACCAATTCTGATCAGAAACGTGGCCGCCAATGATACGACAAACAAAAAGTACTAAAAAATATTTTAACAATTCACAACAGAAATGCATCAACGGCCACCAAACACCACTGGATGCACCAACCCAAAATCTATGACAAATAAAAAATGTGTACTGCAATTATCTGAAAACAGTGTAGTATTTTTAATAAGTTTCAACCTAGATGGTTAAACATTTTTACCAATGCATGATACAAATTTAGCATGCATTGAAACAAAAGGAATGATTGATGAAGGTAGGCCTACATATTATATAACAGGGTCATTAAGGTTCCCGAATGCTCAATCAAAATCTATCAATTCGAACTATTACTTCCTCCAAAACGCCAAATATAAATATACCATAGGAATTATGGAACATGCCCCAGTTCCATTGGTCTAGTTCCTCAAATATCACAGTATGAAAATCCACACTTCCCCGAGTGAGTCACCCGACCAGGGCAATTGGTCAGACACTGACCTAAATTAAGTGGCTACGGCTTGTACTAACGCACACGTCTATGGCAAGTGGTTTCAGCCGTTCCCATAGGCACACATGTAATTGTAAGCCACAGCCGTAGTCTAGATATCAGATGTGAATGAACCCACGTATAGCTGGGTTGTGGTTTCTTAATGCCCACCCCCCCCCCCCCCCCCCCCCCCCCCCCCCCCCCCCCCCCCCCCCCCCCCCCCCCCCCCCCCCCCGTCTAACTCCAACAAGATGACAGCGGGAAAATGAACACATCAGGACATCCCCTTAAACAATCCCTGATGGATGGGCACCGCCGAATCCAGATCCAAGTTAGGAAGGGAGCGCAGGGGGAATATAAACTTAAAAGACTGAAATTGATGGGCGACCAACAAAAAAAAAATACACGGAAGGATGATTAAGCTCAGGGAATGATGGAGTTGAAATTGAAGGGGCTCGTAATTGGAATCCCGGATGGGAGAATCCAGAGACTTGACTTGGCTTGCCGGGGATGATTTTCTGAGCCTTCCATCATGATCACGTCCCGACATCATTTCACGTCAAGTAGCTTCCTCGGCTGATCAGGACGACGACTCGTGGACATGAATGATGCCAAGGAATTCTCCACGAGTCCCTTTAACCACTGTAGTCTTGGTTTCAAGACTAGGTTTGGTTTTTTGTTCCCCAAATGCAGGCAGTCTGGATCCCAGGCAGGTGTGGTCAAAGCTGCTGCTGCAGTGGTAGAGGGCGCTATCAACCAGACCAATCAAATCCGATCTTGGGAACTTTGGCACTAGGATCCAAGAAATGCAAGCATAGCTCATGCATGCTATATATTCAAGCTAAATGCCTGCAGCTGATTTTCACGAAACTTTACGCAACTCGGCTTGCACTACAATTTATTGCGTAAGCTGCGCAACATTTCACGCTGCGCAACATTTCACTTATGACACATTTCACGTAAGTCTCATAGTGCGTTAGTCCACGACTTGCGCAATAAATTATGGTCTAACTTGCGCAATCATTTTAGGTAGAGTAAGTTGTGGCATAGCTCTATGGGCGTAGCGACTGAAAAAAAATGACCTATTTTACCAGTAAATCGTGATCGCCGTGGAGCCTGATATTGCATAACGTATCAGGGTTGATACAAGATACTCACAGCTTCTTTTTTGAAGTGTTGAATTTCTATTTTACTAGAGAGAGAATTTTTAGAGTTGCCGCACGAATCCGAAAAAAGTCGGACAAAACAATTGTCAAAATGGAGGGCTGAGGTATTTCAATGACTGTTTCATGAATGAAAAAAAAATCATACACAAACAGCCGTTGTAAATGCTGTTATTATCCTTGTCCAAGATTTTAGATTATTTAAAACGTTGTGCAGCTACACCAAATTTTGTGAAATCGATCGTATGTTTATTGTGCAGCTGCGCAACAAATTTGCTATGCAGTTTTTCGTGATATCGGCTGCTGGTGTTTCTTCGGTACCTGTGCCAAAATTCCCAACACTGGGTTTGATTCATCTTGTTGATAGAGCGCCCTCTATGACCGCAGTGGCTTGACCACGCCTGTTGGGGACCAGCTGCATGAGCAGAATCAAAATCAAAATCCAGTCTCGATCAAAGACTAGAAACCTCAACAACTTAGGCCAACAATTTCCACCACATAATAACGCTGCAGGCTGTTTTGGGTTATTCTACCTGGCTGATGACGGATGTTAATTCCAACGTAAATATGGCTGGAGAAGTCTGTTGAAATACAATAAATGACTCAAAAGTGAAGTAGCTTTGGAAGCAAAACTGCTGCGCTAACTTCCTCCAAGCCACAGAGAAAGCCCTAAAGCAACCCAAGCTAAAACAAACCTAAGCAAGCTGAATCAGTTTGATAAGAACTTTGCACCAATACTTTTATGGCTGTCCTCTATCAGACCGTGATAGCCAGCCCTTGTTACTTAAAACAGGATAGACTGTTCTCGAGAAAAGAAAGAAAAAAAAAAAGGTTTCGTGTGGACTAGGAGGCCTAAGTAGGCCACAGAGTGAAGCTATTTGCGATGCTTCCCTTACGCTAATGTGATCCCGGACCCCGGAGCACAACAAGTTCATTAGTCCACTTCCCCCCTTAACCAAGCCAGGGGGTCTCCTAATGTGTAGCGGTAATCCTTAGGATTAACCTACCTCAGGTTGTAGTTTTACAGTTTTTGTTTCAAAAAAAAAAAAAATTGGAGGCCTTAAGTTCACCTGTACTAGACGTCAATTCCCTGTAGTGTATTGGGTATCTAGTCCTGGTTGCGGGCTAAGTATTAGCCTCCTGAGTCAATATTTGTAAAAATTACGAGACGGGAGTAACATCGCGGTATCATATTTCATCCTAGACATCTGAACCTCTATAACAAGAAGTGCACCGTTTTGGCCATGTGGGACAACTTGCGATACTTTTGGCTTACTATACTGATACTGGCAACTAAAAGCAGCATGGAGTTTAGTAGTCAGAACATGGATAATGATGTCCTTTATCAAAAGGCACGTGTTGCCACGACCCACAAATATTCATGAACAAAATGGCCGACACTGAATCACGCAGCTGCATTGCAGAAACATCTCTCGGAATAAAAACACAAA